TCTCTATTATCGCAGCAAATCGAAACTAAAGAATGAAATTTAATTTCTTGCACTTCACGATTGGCATTTCATATAGCTCAGGTGACGGCATTTTGCTTGAGTATCAGACCACCAATCGTTTAATCAATTTAAAGATGATGACGCTCATACAAGTGTTACGATATAGTATATTCCCTCAGTCATGGCCATTTCCGATTTGGATGATTTCTACCAACAAAGAATGTTCTGGGAAAATGGAAAAAAATGGATCATCGTGATTTGCAATGAGTATGAGTGTATTAATTCTTTTTAAAAACTTATCAAAGTTATATTTAGGATATTGTTGTATTTATTTTCAATATTGCATTTCATGTTACGTAGGCCAGTTTAAGTCATATAAAAGTTATATAAAATAAAGTATTCTCCCATGATGGAATTATAATTTGTATCTTTATTTTTATTAGCAATGGATTTTTCCCCATTCATTGCGTGTAACTATTTAACTTTAATTCACATTTGCTCAATCAAGTTATTCATTATTCTAAATTAAGCTTTATCGAAAATTACAATAAATCAATGATTGCCGTGAAATGCTTAACCGAGATATCTAGTTCATAGAATTCATAGTGAGTTAATGTATTTTAGACACAATTTAGTTGTTTGAATAATAATTGATCAAATTATTGATTCCCAGTAAAATACTTATTCTTTAACTCACTAGTAACAAGCCAGCAATATTCTCCCACACTACTTTTGCATTCTGCTTTACTGACCTAAAACAACTGAAATGGGATTAAGAATTGGCGCGTCCGCTTATCACCCATTCATATTTCCGTTCCGCCTGATCAGACATACTTCTCGTGCACTCACACACACATGCACACTCGTCTTTGGGCATTAAACCAGCCCACATCGTTGTCCAGCCCCCAGAGTTCCGTTCCGAGAGATTTCTGTGAATCACTCGCCCATATGAACAAGTGAACAGCGGATGTCGGTGGGCGCCACGGGTCTCGGGAATCCGCAATCGACAATCGACGTGCGTTCGACGATTGATCAGCCCAAAGAGGCTGATATATCTCATCGATTCTCTATATATATATTCTCGTGCGCCTTCCCTTTTCAATCTTTTAAATTCGAGGCACTCCGATGACGTTGTTCCAGACAAGTGTTGCTCAAAAATTAGAAGCCAAAATAATAAAATGAAATCAATTTATGTTTATAAATTTATCATATTTGGCCGACTTGTGAATAGGTGACCCATAATGGGATCTTCATAGTCTATAACTTTACCAAATTTTAACCGATTTCAAAATGACATACCTCTAAAGAGTTGTGTTTCGATTCTCTAAAAATCTGCATTCAAAATTTTCAAATTAACGTTGATCAAAATTTTGACCCATTTTCATGTTAGTTATTTCTAATTTTCCGATGTTTTGTAATACAGTGACTGAAAATTTGACTTCTAGAGTCCATAACTTTACCAAATTTATTCCGATTCCAAAGTGGCATACCTCTAAAGACTTGTGATTCGATTCCCTAAAAATCTGCATTCAAAATTTTCATTTTAACGTTCATCAAATTTGTGACCCAATTTCATGTCAGTTATTTATAAGTTTCAATGACTTGTAAAAAGGTGACCCACAAAAAAATGAGTTTGTAATGACTTAGAGGCATTGCCTCTCTAATGAGTGAAGTTCCCCCATTAAAAGATTATTGTTTCTGCTGATAAAAGTGCCATAAAATCGCTAAAAAACCAGTCCCAGAAAATAAGACATGGAGACGCGAAGGGGCAACAGATGTGAAACAATCATTTGGCTTTGGGCACCCACGCAAGAAAAATTTGCGATTGATACGAAACAAACTGCGACCTGACCAAATGACTGACTATTCAGCGAATTGAAATTCGAATGACGTCTGTTGGATCCTCTGACTCACTTCACTTTTGGCCATTTCACTCAGCTCACGGTGGCTTAAACAGCAGCCTGGGCCACGTGTTCCTTCCAAAGGGAAAATAAAGTAAAACAAAATACAGGATGAAAGGAAAAGGGAGGAGCACTTACGCCAGAATCAAAATCCTTTTGACGTCATTCGACGGCTGCTCAATGAATTTTCTTTTATTTTACTTTTGCTTCACTGTGAAATTAGAATTCTAAGAAACAAGCATTTGTTTTAATTTCTATATAAACCACTTGAAGAGTAGATTTATTAGATAACTAAATTTAAATGGTCTGGTTTTTGTAATCATTTTTTTTATAATAAAATATGGTTTTCTTTTTACACCAATATTTAGAGTATTTCTTTAAAAAATATTTTCGAGTTTTGTAAAAAAACAGAGGTCAGAACCGAAACATATTTTTTGTTACATTTAAATTGAATAAAATGATGGATAAATTTGTTTGACTTCAAAGGAATTAAGGTCTGAAGTGTAATGAAGGTTTATAAAGTTTTATTAAAACTATTCTTATATATTTAACTTTTAATTGAAATCTCGTTAAGCCTTCTGTTTAATATCCTTGCCGTCTTCTTAAGCAACCCTCGTTTTGTCCTTTTTCGGGTGTTGACTTTACGAGATGGTATTTTTAAACTAGAGCATTCGAGCGAAGAAATTTGTGCCAGCTCTTCATTTCTTTTTCGCCGTCATCACCGCCGTCGCCGTTGTCATCGCCAGTTCATCCTTCTTCAATTGAAAAGGCGGAGGGCTAACGAAGGTTAATGCGACGCAGTGTTTGACTTACAGGGTCAAGCTGAAGGCAAATTAATTGCGAGAATTGGGTGAGACAGCTAGAGAAAGCGCGGAGCTGCTGTAATTGATACAAACAAAAAAAATTAAAAGCCAAATTGCAGCCAATTGATTCAATCAAAAGTTAAGGGGACGATGCTCTCAAAAATGGCACTTCCGTTGTATTATATGAATGGGGATATTCCCCGACCAGAAACAATTGCTTGCCCCATCCCATTGACATTATTTCGGAATTCTTCTGGGTGTGCAATGAGCTGGCAGGGTCGTTAATTATGTTGACCCAAGTAATTTGTAAATCAAATATAGAGCCTTCCAAGAGGCATGGGTCTTTTTCCGCCTCCCACCTCCACTTGATTATTCACCGGAAGAAATACATTAGCCAAATTGGTTCAATAATTTGACTTCGATTTGTTTCCATTTTTTTGCTTCTGTATTCCCTTAGAATGAATAATATTTTGTTTTTATTTTTAAGTCAAATGTTATTATTGTTTAGTCCTTATTATGGATTATTAATAAAAGTAATAAAATTATAAATTTATGTTTTTGAGATACACAAAAAAGGTAATAGTTTTAGAGAAAAGCCCAATGAAAGAAACGATTTTAGAAATAATTGATATTGCTATATTTTTATTAAGTATGATATACATTTTGTAATTTACTAATGATTAATAATGATTTTCAATAAGAAGAAATCTTAATTTTTTTGGTTAAGCTTAAAAAATACATAGTAATACATGGTCGTACTAAACAACCAACCCAAATAAGTTTGGCCTTAACAAATATATACATTATATTTAAAAAGTAAATTAATGGTGTTAATTATTAATGTCTATAATTATGTTTATGAATGTAAAGTTTGAATCGAATTTAACATGGCCTATTTATAAAATTGGCCTATTAATAAGCTGTTAAAAAAAGATTTTAAGAATAGGCCGATTGATTAAGCTGGTAATCAAGCTAGTACGGATTTAATCATGACAATGAGGAACTGGGAATTACGGCGAGCAGAGGGCATTGGGACTGCCATTGAGGGTGTCGCGGCCCACGCAATAACTTGGCCAAACAAAAAATGGTAATAAAAGAAGAGTGCTGCTGTATGTACTTTGTGCGAGGGACACCCGCAAATGTATATATACTGTTATATTTTTGATAACGGTCGACGGCGGAAATATTGCACGCCAACGCCCGAGCAGCGCAGTCGACGTTTTTCCAGACCGCCAAGCCGCCATTCATTTCCACCAGCTGCAAAAAGGCAAGAAAAAGGCAGCCAGAGATACAAGATACAAACCCACAGATACAAAGTTACAGCGGCCAACTCACAGATACACACTGTGCCAGCATTTTACGCATTCCAATCAGCCATGTGGGCGTCCAATTCCCCGCTGCAAAAAGTCCAATGAAAAAAAAAATTGTATATATAATAAAAACTTATGAATGAAAAGCTTCTGCGAAGCGTGGGCGAAACGCTGGGCCAGCTTTTTGCGGGCTAAAAGCTGTATCTTTGAGAGCCACCTCTTCTCGGTCCCCATCTCAATGGCAATCGCATTATGCCAAGCGTCCGAGCTTCGGATACACACGGAATATTGATTGGACGTGAAGTCTCCAAATGTGAAGTAACCTTGAAATGTGGGTGGCCGGTGGGCGGGGAGTGTGAGATGTGTGGATTGCGGATTGTAAAGAGCTTGTGTGTGGGCTGAGTTTATAAAGTGCTGTTTAATTAATGAACTGCTCTTCGAAAAATTGCGCTTAAGAACTTGAAAGTTAAAATTAAAATTTTTATTTCATGGGCCTTATTTAAAAATGAGACTCTACGGCATCTACTTATCTCACAATTTTTGAAAAAACGTTATCGTTGTTTTTTTTTTTAAATTAAAAATTTTAAATGTGCCATTTATTTTGATAAGTTATCAATCCTTTTCCAAATATTTGCCAATAAAATTTTATTTTTAAGCCCCAACTTCATTTTCTAAGAAAAAGTGCTATAATTGACAAATATAAGTAACGATTTTTAAACATTTTAAATTTTTGGTTTATATATTTTCTTTAAATTCCAGAAAATATTTCAACAATAATGTAGTCAAGAAGAATTTCATATGGTATAAGTTGGTTTAATCTTTTGTAACTACCAAAAGTACCGAGTATTGACAACACAACATTTAAATTAGGCGGTCACAATTATCGATAGTATTATAAAGGTATCGATAGCTTAAAGGTAACCATACTTAAAATTGGTTTCAAACCTTGATATGCCTCGCGCAATTTGGTCACACTGTCAAACAGCTGTTAGTGGTCAAAGACCCCAATAAAAATTAAATACAAAAGAAATAAAGTCTGCTTATTGCGAAAGTAATCGAAAGGTGTGCTAAAAATTAGGGCGTATAAAACCAGATACCCCAGGGAAAATGGAATCGGATATGCTGGATAAGGAGAGCGCTGCGGCGGTCCTGAAAAAGCTATCGCAAAGTGAAAGTCCCGAAAGTGCGAAGAAATGGGTGCCGAAAGTGGGCGAGGGGGTGGTGGATGGGGCGGATGGCGAGGGGGCGCCGCCAACAAAGAGACAAAAGACTGCAGACGAAAAAGAGGAGAATTCGGAGACCAACCTCGAGGAGAATCCGGAGGACGACGAGGAGAGCGAGGACAGCGAAGATTTGGATGACGACGACGAGGAGGAGATTCCTCTACTAATCCCAGCCCGAGAAACCCCCCAAAATCCCACCAAAAATAGTCCAAGGAACTTCCAACGCATCCCCGTTTTCATCGTTGACTATCATAATGATGTCCTGGAGTTCGTCTATCGCTGCTTCGCAACCCGTCATCTTCCCCTGGCGAACAACACCCTCGTGCACTTCGATTCCCATCCGGATCTGGTTATACCGCGACACATTGCCGCCAGTTCGGCCTACGAAAAGGACACCATGCTCAACGAATTGAGCATCGAAAACTGGATTATGCCCACTCTATATGCAGGTCAGTAATCCTCTAGAAAACTCAGGGATCCATACATATTATAACTTCTTATAATTGGATTTTATTGAAAATATTTGAAATGTTAAGTTAGTTTTAAAACAAAAAATCTTTAAATTAAAATGAAATCTCAAAGATTAAACTCAAATTAATAAGATGTAAAAGAGTACCCAATCCCAAGCATTTAATATAGTTTATTTTTATCTAGTCCAAAAGCTCAACTAATAATGGTTATTTTTCTTTCGCCTAGGTCATTTCAACCGGGTGGTATGGCTTAAGAATTCGTGGTGCCAGCAGCTGCCCAATGGCAGGCATGACTTCAAAGTTGGCCAAAAGGACGACCGAATTGGCGTAGACTGTCCGCTGGACTACTTCATTGCCGATGGCAACTACTGCACAACCGAAGATCTTCAGGAAGTTAAGAGCGTGGAGCTTCAAGTTCACGATGCAGACAACGATAGCCTCAATCCAAATGAATTTTTAACAGAGAAAGATGCCAAGGGATTTGTACTGGATATAGACCTGGATTTCTTCAGCACCTCCAATCCCTTTTTAGAGATCTACAAGGATGCTGATTGCTACAATCAGCTGAAGGAGATCTTTCACTTCGAAAGTGTGGAGAACGTTAAAAAGTCGGGTACTGCTTCAATAGCCGATTATTTGGCCACAGCGGACAGGAGAAAGATGCAGTTGGATGCACTGAGGACGATTTTCTGGCATTTGGAGGAGGAGCGCAATTTTGAGGGTCTGGAGAAACCAGATGAGAGTGTGGTTACTCCCGAAGTGTATGCCAAAATTGTACGACTTGCTGAGCAGCTGCAGGAAAAGTATCCGGATGACGAAATCGACTGGCATTTGATCTTCGATTCGGGCAGCACCACCGACAATAACGGCTTGGCCCACCACATCAGCACCGCCGAAGAGTTGGAGACGTACTTTGCGAACTTTAAGAGATTTTTAGAGCGACTACCAGTTCCACCAGTGGCAATAACAATGGCCCATTCCGCTCAGGACGATTATTGCCCTCAGGATCAGGTGGCATTTATCGAGGAACGCGTTTTACGGCTGCTACGGGAAGTTTTTGGAGACAGACTGCATGAGAAAGCCATCCTGCACTATATGGACGATCCATGGGATGTGATGAAGCTCTAAGCTTATTTATGTATATCTAGGGGTTTTTGCACCCGCCATCTCCAATTGGTATATGATTTTACAATGAATTGAAATCATGCGATAGGAGATCACAGTAGTAACTCAAAGATGGAAAATCCAATTACGAATATAACAATATTTTTTACTTTTAAATATACGCAACGTATTTATTACAGACAATTGAGGACACGTTTTTTATTTAAAGCATATAAAAGAAAATAATTGTTTACAAAATATTGAATCTTTATTTTAATTTACGTTTAAAAATTGATCGTTTAAATGAAATTTATTTCAAAACTAGTTCATCAAACATTTTGAGAAATGTAAAAATCGACCAAGAAAAAACCATAGAAAAATATGATAATACAAACGTTTATTATATTTTAAAGTAAATACTAATTTTTTACAGGCATAAAAAAAAAACTCTTTGATGCGATGCCAGATGTTCCTGGGAAATGCTTGAAATCTCATTTACAAATATAGTTAGGTGGTAACACCTGGTTTTTCTGACCGTGGGGGTTGGAGGTCTGGCAGGCCACCTCATTGAGGGCAGTCAACTTTTAATTGTCGACCCCAATTCTTGGCCGAAATCAATAAGCCAATGTCCCCAGGCAAAACTTTCAGTAACATTTTGTGGCTCAGTCCTTGTGGAAGTTTTACAGATAAAATTGAGAAACAGTGAGTTTACCTAAACTAATTATACACTTTTTGCTTTGATTCTATAGGTAATACAAGTATATCGTGTTTTCCATTTCAAGCAAAGTTCAAGAAGTTAAATTAAATTAATTTAGTTTTCAAATATGCTTTGATCAGAGCTAGAAAACTAAATTATTTTAATATAACCTACTTTTTACGATATGGAATTTGATCAGGGAACGAGTACTCAAAGCTCCTCCTTATCGCCTTTGGCTTTTTGTTGTTTTTTGGATTTTTTCGCATCGGGCAGAGCAAGTTGCTCCTTGAGACATTCCCTTTCGGCTTTTATCTTGAGGACATTGTCTTCGCAGAGGTGTTTTCTTAGGGACTTCTTATCCTGGTGCTTGAAGTACCAATCGCTAATGGTTTCCTCGTACTCCTCCAGTAAATTTTCGCACTGTGTCTTCATTTGGGTGACTTCCACTGGTGGCTTGTCCCACAGTTCGTAGGGTATTCCAAGATCAACCTTGACACCCTTGTCCACCAGACCATGGAGGGTTTGGAAGGTCTGCGACATTCCCTTGGCGAACCTAGTGCTATCCGAGCGCTCCTTGTGCAGATTGTACTCCAGAACTCGCTCACAAACGTTCTCCAGAGATTCCAGCAGTCGCAGCTCACTCCTACGGTATTCGGTGCGCTTCTTGGGCTTCACATCATCCACGGAATAGCCAATCTCGATCACGTCGTGCGACTTCCCGGTTTCTCCAAGACGCGCCTCCAATTCGGCGGCCAGGATTTTGCAGGCCTCACAGCGATTTGCATAGCGAACTCCCTGCTCCTCTTCGGGTGAATCCCCTCGTGCTAATTGGAGGAGGCCCAGAAGTAGCAGAATAATAGTATATCCCTTGAATCGCATTTCCACTGTCTGATAATTTGCAAAACAATAATAAACCTGACGTGGAAATGCCGCTTGCGATAAGAAAGCAGTGCTGTGAAACACCCACCAGTTAACAGATCTGCGGCAATGGCATTTTATTCGCCAATATGTTTGCTAATTTTAGTTTTTTTTTTAGTTAAAATCATATTTTTAAAGTATCACCAAACATTTAAATAAAACAAAATCAAATGTTTATTTTTACTTTGGCCCTTTTTTATTTTATATATTTATTTCTTCTAACAAAGTTATTATGAATAGTTACAAGACAGTAACAGCAATAGTTTTGTTCCCTTAAAAAGTTCCTTACCGAAATAATCAAAACCAAACATCTGTAAAAACTCGTTTAAAAGTTACGAAATGCTTTTCTCAATTAATTCAGTAATGCCATTAACAGATGTTTTTAAGTGATACAAAAGAAAATCTATTGAAATGGGATTTTTCCTGTAAATGGTTATATTTTATATTTTTGATGCTCAACCCGATTAATATACTATTTTTAAGATATATTTTAGTTCAGACTTAAGAGTCGCTATTTTCGAATTCCTTATTAAATATGGACGCTATTTCATTTACCATATCACTTGCCAGCAAGCTACGCCCAAACTTTTGAAACGCAGCTGAGTTTAGTCTCTTCACAAAATAGCTTGAGGCACCTGCGGCAATATAAGCAGGATTGGGTTCATTTGACTGTAAGGACCAATAAAAAAAGGTGGCTAAAGAACCGCTTAGCAAGTCGCCTTGACCTCCGCATCTACGACCGGAACCCCCTAATGGCATTGTGTGAACTTCGTTGCAGTGGGGAATATGAATCTTGTCATTAGCTCCTTTTTCAAGGACCACAACTCCATCTCCGAGAAGGGCCATCTTTTGACGAGCAGCATTGCTATCATCTCCAAATAGTCTTCGGAATTCCATGACATTTGGCGTCAGTATAACATTCCGCTGTCCACAAATCAATTCAAAGTTATCGTTAAGTAGAAAAAGTCCATCGGCGTCTATAACAACTGGTTTTTGAACACTCAAGCAAAGCTTTAATATGTTTGAGGCAGTTTTTAAAATGCTCGGTTCGCGACCCAATCCAGGACCAATAACCTTTAAAGATATATTTTTTTTTAATAATTCAAATTTTTTTTAGAATAATAGAGGTATGTTTCTATTTCAATTGTAAATATGTACTTACAATTACATGAAGCCGATCCAACCACGGCGTTATCTTTTCTACTGCGTCTTCGGAATCCAGTACTGGATGAACGATTAGATCGGGACTATATGACTTGATAATTGAGGATGCTTTTGAATGGCAAAACACATGAGCCAAGTCAGCCCCAACTCTAATGGAAGTTATGGCTGCGAAGTACGGTGCCCCGGTGTATTCCAAAGAACCACCGATTACGCCAATTCGTCCATACTGTCCCTTATATTTGTTGTTAGACAGTTTTGGCACTACTGTTTTAAACAATGCCAAAAGCTTTGGCAAATGTACCGGTATTTCAGTAATTGCTGATGACATCGTCCTAGTTTGATTTGTTTTGTTCTTGAGACTAGTGAAGAGCAAATATACTATCGACCTCATGAAAACATCTGTTGCTTTATCATTATTTCGCTGTGAAGGGAAAATAAATGATTCTCACGGACTAGCATTATCTTTACATTTTAAATCGACTATTGTTTTTTATATTGTACGATAATTTTTGATCTGATTTTGGAGTTTTCTTGAACCTGAGCTAAAAAAGATAAGCCAAAATTGAGCTGCAAACAAAACCGGTATTTGAGTTAAACATGCTTTACTGTAACAGTTTTAAATTTAAAACAAACTTTTGTTTTTGCATAATATTGGTTTAGTATGATTTATAAATATTTTTTTTATATTGTTTGTTTGGCTGAAATACTAGCGTAAAATGGTAAGCAATTGAAAAATGCTTAAAACGTTCCCTTAATAATACTACCTTCATAATACTACTTCCTTCGGTTATCGACAAGTAATCGACTTTGAAATTCACTTTTAACCGCTGCCCCGGCAACCAGTGGCTCCATAACAAAGAACCACGCGCTTTCACCCCCAATCCTCAATCCCCGCCAGTCAAGTTGGCTCCTTTCCGGCAGTCACATAGACTTTCACTTGAAATCAGCCAAAAAAATGTCACACAAAAGATTCTATGTGAAGTTAGACTTGCAACTCCATGCGGTTGGTGGTGGAATCGGTGGTATTACCTAAGCTCAAAGGCCATTTTCACTTTCAGCTCACCTGTCCAGGCGTTTGGCTCTGTTCCCACGGATTTTTGGAGGCAACCGTCAAGACCTTAGGCTACTACTTTCGAACGGGAGCGATGGAGCCGCGATTTCCGATGCTGTGCCACGATCAATTCACGATGGAGGGCTATTTCAAGAGTGTGGGATGCCTGGAGGACATGCACGAGCTACTGAAAGCTGAACAATTGGAGATAACCGTCTGGCAGAATGGTCGGAGATTGGCCTACTTCGTTGGAAATCTCTCGGATGTGATGCAGCCCACGATTCCTCGATTGAGCTGTGCACACAGCTCCAATGTCCAGCTTTTGATGAAGGCTACTCCTGCTTTTCCCGGAATCCTGGCACCCAAAGTGGAGCTCTCCGCGCAATTGACCACGCAGGATCGAAAGAAGGTCTGCAGTTGTTCCGGGTTCAGAGAGGAACCGGCTCCTCCGACCAACCGTCATTTTGAGAGCCGTTGTCTAAGTCATTTGGACCAGCCTCGAAAGCAGCAAACTGTGTGTCATGGCAGGAAATCCAATTGTTGTCCAAGTACGAGTTACGCGGGATGGAGAGGAGCCTCGCCGGAGCACCAGAAACAACAGGAGCGACGTCTGTCCACCTGTTCGAGCACAACGCAGTTAAGTAGTATCAGTCAGAGTTCCTCGCTGACGCAGTGCAGCCATTTGTCCAGCTGTAGTAATTCGTTGGACGATCATCACAACAGTTGTGACATTTGCCAAGCATACAGACGCATGTTTCCTGCTTATTAAATAAATTTAAAAATAATTATAAAGTTCAAAGACAAGAATTGGTTGGTCAATTACTTACTTTAGAAAACCAAGAATCTGGAAGTTTGAATTTGATTAGTATTTTTGATGACATAAAAAATAGTTTAATGAATTCGTATAATATTATAATGGAACATTTTTAGAGATTATATTATTTTACAAGTGGACTAAATTAAAGATGATTGTTTCAATTATTCTTAAATAAAGTATGTCAGCATTTTTCACTTTATATTTAATTTTGAAAAATTGAGAATACAAAAATTGTTTTTAACATTGCTGGGCTCGAAAGATTTAAGCATAATTACCAGAATAGCTTGTTGGCTTAATCTATCAATTTGTACAGTCAGTTTGTCCTTACATTAGGGTTTACTAAATCACGAAATCAATACCTTAAATATACTCCTTAAAATCACTCTGGGCAAAGACATGAACAATTAGGGTTAGCAGTAGATTATAGGGCGCTGCTCGCTGCACTTCCTCCGCTTTTAATTGATTCCTCAAATGGATGGAGGATCGGGCGATATATCGAAGGGTGCTGAACACATGAGGTTCTAGCGGGAGATGCAGACAAACCAAGGTGGCATAAAGCCAGCGGGCAAGCCAGACATCCTGGAGGAGGTCGGTATCGTGATCCTTGACCTGCAGCCATTTGCTCAGCATTTCGAGCAGGTGCTCCAAATCGCTTTGGGTTAAATGGAGTAGTGTGCTCAGGAGCGGCTGTTGATTTCGGCAGAACTCCTGCCACTTCTCCTGATCCGAGGTTAACGGTGGCTCCGCAGACTGATCGTAGTTGTGGTTAACTAGCTCCCGGCGAAGGATCAATACCTGGGAGCGAGCTGCTTGGAAGGATTTCACCTGTTCATCCCGCCATTCGGGCGTGGGCAGCAGGCACTTAAAAGGCGGCAGAGCGGGCTATAATATATAGAACGCATTTTATTTCTAACTGTCATATAAAATGCATCCTATACTTACATTATCCATCATCTCAAAAGTGTTATTTCCTGCATTATCCCTGATTTTAGACGATCTTTTGGTCACCACCGCAGGACACCGTTTTCTTTCGTACAACATGTGCATTAAATACTCTTCTCCGGATTCTGGTGGTTTCTTGGGATCGAAATTGACATCCGGTTCGCGTATCTCAAGTGCCTGGAGTTGGAAAGTCTGTTCTTCCGGTTCGTTTTGCATATTTATCTTAATTTGTGTTAAATTATTTTTGGTAAAAATGAAGCCGCCAAGGAGTGTGACCGTTTATGGGGTTGGCTTAAAATAACAACTATCGCAAGGGCAATAGTCAGGAGCTTTAGGGTTGTCAATGTCGTGGCTGTCGTATTTGGATAACGTTAATTTCAAATTTGAAATTATTTGAATACAGATACTAAATAAGATTGTTTTTTATTTTATTAAGTCGAAAGATATTTTAATTGAGATAACCTCTTAGAATGCCATGATAACCCCAAATTTGTATGTTGTCTTTTTGTTTTTAATTAGGGTTAACTAGGGCCTCCTAATTTTAAAGCTTAGAACATTTTCCAGATAATAAGGTTGGTTGTGCGCCATATTTTAGCTAAGTTAATACAAACAAGAAAGGAAAGCTAACTTCGGGCGGAGCCGAAGTTGATATACCCTTGCAGAATACTCTGTAAATTATATTCTCCAAAATTATTCATATGATCCATTCTTAATACTCATAAAAAATCCCAACTTCCTAACTTTAAAAACACCAAAGTTATGGCATTTTCAATCGTTCAGTTATATGGTAGCTATAGGATATAGTCGGCCGATCCTTATGAAATTTGGTAGGTCGGATTGATTGGCCAAATATAAAACCGATAGAAAATCTCAACTTCCTAACTTTACAAACACCCAAGTTATGGCATTTCCGATCAATCAGTTATATGGCAGCTATAAGATATAGTCGGCCGATCCTTATGAAATTTGGTAGGTCGGATTGATTGGCCAAATATAAAACTCATAGAAAATTCCAACTTCCTAACTTTACAAACACCAAAGTTATGGCATTTCCGATCAATCAGTTATATGGCAGCTATAAGATATAGTCGGCCGATCCCGGCCGTTCCGACACATGTACTGCGTGCAAAGGAAAGAAGGCTGTGTGCAAAGTTTCAACTCGATAGCTTCAAAACTGAGAGACTAGTTTGCGTAGAAACAGACAGACGGACAGACGGACAGACGGACAGACAGACGGACAGACGGACAGACGGACATGGCTATATCAACTCAGGAGGTGATCCTGATCAAGAATATATATACTTTATAGGGTCGGAGATGTCTCCTTCACTGCGTTGCACACTTTTGACCAAAATTATAATACCCTCTGCAAGGGTATAAAAAACCATTAAAAAATGTTTTTTATGGCCAAAAGACCGAAAATATTTACTTTAAAATAGTTTTTTGATGAAAACTGTCGGAAAAAATGGTCAAATGTTAGAATGCCATACCTCGTTGAATTCGTTATAAAATTTCCAATCGTTTGGCCTTTTTGCCTAAAATTTTTTATTTCTGACCAATTTTTGCAAAAATTGATAGTGTTACCCCTTATAAAAAATGCAAAAATCGGAAAAAAAAATTTTTTCCAAAGCAACCTGGAATTGATAGTTTAGGTCCTCAGCTATTCAAAACTGTCATTCTTTTAGCTGGGTGTCGTACTTTGGCTTAGTTAGAACAAAAAAAAGTTGAAAAAGGAGTCAAAAAAATTAATTTTTTGTTGGCTTTCATTTTTTAATTTGTATTGTTATGAATCTCGGTGCCCAGGCTGTTTGGTGGTAATTTCCCTTTGTCGAACTGTTAAAATTTAATCACTTCAACAAGCGGAAAATTTGTTGTTTTACTATAAAGGAAAAAAGGGACTTTGTAATACAAGCTGTTTGCACGTATAAAATTTAATCAACGGCGAGCCAAGACAAAGCGATCTTGGCCATATAACAAAGCCCGATTGTGTGCCGTTGTCCTCCGAAACATCCCAGGACCCGGGCAATAATAGGACTATAAAAAACGCATTTCATAATTGTCTTACGAGAGTGGGCGGACAGTGGGGTCCTGCGACTGGGACTCAGCCCCGATTTCAGGTTAAGCTTCAGTTTCAGGCTCAGGTGTGTTCGTGCGGCTTTTGTGCGAGTTCCTTGGGGCCGTAAAATAGCCCGCAAGGAGCAGGTTGGGCTCAATTAGCTGTCAGTCGCAGGACGAACTCGGTGTCGGGGAAATCTCCATTTATTTGCAAATAGTTATGCCCGGCAAAGTGCTTATTTAGCTGCCAGTTTAGGAGCAAATATTAAATTTAAAATTCATTAAAAGAAAGCGCAAAGCAAAAAAACACATTAGCCAAGGGCGCAAGGGGAGGGAAATTGGAAAAATGACAGGGAGACATATGTACATATGCTGTCGAATTGAAATTGCAGACTTTTCGGCTGCTGTTTGTGTTTTTACTGGTACAGAGAGAAAAATATAAAATATACTTTTATAAAAATTAATAAAACAACTGTTTTTATAATACATATAAAATAAAATGATGTTTTTAATTTGTTTTTCTTGCCCAGAGATAAAAATGGTGGCCATATTTTTTAAAATACAATATTATTAAAGCATTGCCGATTTCATAACATTTAAAATAAAAATTATTTTTCATTTTCAGACGCATTAAAGGTCTTATATTATTTTGTCAAGCTACAGTGTTAGCTTTATTAAGGAAATCATAAAAGAATTGTTAAAAGGCAACAAAAACGAAGGAAAAGGATGTAACGAGCCAGCAACATGCGTCGACATCCAGACACTGTGTCGCTTTTCTTTTCCCTCGCCCCTCTTCACTCTTTGATGCCTTTTCCAATTGTGTCGAGGGAATGGAAAACTCACTGCACGCGCTTTTCTTTGGGTTCCTTCCTTGTCCTTTTGCTTGCTGCTGCACTGAAGTTTCAAGTTTCCGGCTCGGATCGTAAAAAAAATGTATCCGCATTTGTTTTCTTTCCCTTTGCAGTCAGCAAAACTAATTTCCATGGTTGCGGGCCCTCATTTTTGCCTTTAGCAAATCGGCCTACGTTTGCATAAAATATGTTACCACAAAAATAAGATATATATTCATACATATATAGCGGGAAAAATCTTTACTGTTTATTTGTTTGTTCGCGTGTGTGTGACAGTTTCCCAGCTCGGCTTCTACTACTTTTTCCAGTTGCTTGTTTTTCTTTTCCCTTGGAAGTTATTGTGCTGCATGCGCGCCTTTTAACCTTTTCTTGTGTATCTTTAATCATTTTTAATTGAAATGCAAAAGGTCTGCGCAAGGCTTTGGCACAGAAGGTCTTATCTTGCTATAAAAGCCCCATTTCCCCCACCTTCATTTGCCGGCTTTCAAATCCACACAAAATGCCTCCCTCATCCAATTTGGCGGATCATCATTTGCAAAATTTGTAGGCAAATTACTTTCATCGTGTGCGTAATTTAAAATTTAAATCTAATTTAGTTTGACCTTTTTGCGAAGGCTAAGAAAATTCGCTTAGGCTTGTTTTCAATAATTTAAGGCTGAATAAATTCTAAGCAATACGTAGTAAAATTTCTGCCGCACCTTAGTTTCTAAACTAAAAGCTCCAATAAATTAAGTTAGATATACAGATATTATTGTTAAAACAATTTATATTCATAATATACCTTTTATGTTTGATTATTTGTTTGTTTTGATAATTTTATCTCAACTTACAATCAATATATTCATTAAACATATAAATAAATACAACATTTTTATGTCTTGAACCATATTTTATGTTAGTCTTTCTGAAAAAAATACCAATTTGCATAGTTTCATTTCGGAATTGATTTGTCAACCAAATTAACCCAACTAATTAACTTCTAGAAATGCAGCAAAAGTATTTTGTGAACTGTCTAGAGTTTTTAAGAAATCATGAATTACAGCCAGGATACGAGGAAAATGTATGCACATATAATTTCCTTTTTTGATTGCATGCATTTATGCCTAGTTCTTAGTCCAGCCTCCAGCTTTCAACTTCCGACCCGAAACTCCTTTCGACCATGCCGTTCCCCCGAAAAAAAAGGCCAAAAATATTGCTCATGTGCAGCGCTTAGCAGGCCGACAAAATTTTCAATTTCTGCCCGAGGTCGCCTAAAACCCCACCCAAGGACACCCCCAGTCAGAGGCAAGGCCTCGACAGATGCTCGCTGCAGCTACAACTCGCATTTGCAACAAGTTTAAACACAAAGGCAGAGAAAAAAAGTAAAATAAAACAGGTGCATTTGCGGTGGCTCTCAAGGCGGCGGCTCGTGTGTGCTTAACCCTCTCCCTGCACCAGCGCCATATACGACCCCACCACCCACCACCCACCTGCTAACTGTTGCCTACCACTTTTCAAATCATCCACATCCGCATGAGCATCCGATGTTCTGGCAACCTTGAGGGCTAAAAATATACGGCCCAGGCGTATCAAAAGGTACAAATACAACACAGACGGCAGCAGCAATACACAAATAAAAATGGTTTTCATTATAGTAAATATATGTATTTTACACTCACATATTTATTGTTGAAGCATCTTCCAGAAATCACAATATTTCTCTTTAAAAGTTAAATGAAATTTTCAATCTTCTTTCTTTGCAGTTTTACCCATTACAACCTTGGGGGAATTTGTTTAAATAAAATTGTACATTTAAGAATTTCTCGTTTAACATTTGTTTAATAATAAAAAAGATTTTCACTTGAAAATATTTGTGCAATTTGTAAAATGATTTTTTCTCTGTGATCTTGAGTAAAAGCTGCTGAAATGTTTTTAATGCAACCAAAAGTGGAGGCTTGAAATTGGAAGTCATCATGTGGGACCGTTTCGAATGCAGTGAGTCGTTTAAAATTTCATTTCAATTATTTGGGCAATTGTTACGCATTCGTTCCCCACTGGTCACACACTGCGTATACGCAATATGCTATACATATGTATGAATATCCGGACCAGCAGGAATCGAAGGTCCTGACAATTGTATTTACCCCTGTTATGGTCCCGTCCACAGCCACTGATTCCGTTTATGGGTCTTTTATTTTTGTTTCTCTGCGGTTTGCGTGCTTAATTATACACCAGACCTCCAATAACACCGCATGTGTATAGTATATATGTATGGCAATGGATTCTTCCCCAGCGCCTTTAATCCGGCCGGGCTTTCGTCAAATGTTCTGGCCTAGTTCAGGCAATCTGTGCCAAATGTCCTTTGGCTTGCTTTCACTCAGTGTTTTCATTCCATTTCATCTGGCAGCCGAGTTTGCTTTGCCCTTTATGGATAATTTAGTTGGCTACACACACACAGACAGAAATGTGGGTGTTACTTACCCAACATGTGTGTGCAAACATACATGCGCTGGCAAATCAAATTGAGTTTGCTTAATTATTTAGATTAGCAACTTGCCCGAAAGACAACCAACGAAAGAACGATTTATCACAAAGCCCAGAGAACTTTACGAATTTTCCGAATACCAACTGTGATTGCTTTGCTAAACGGGAAAATGGAGATTTGGGGGTAGCAATTTTCAACTGGGCAAAGTTCCCAGACAACTTGTTTCCTGCAATTTGTAAGGTTCTTCTGCCTCATCAATCTGCGTTAAATCGATTACGCAAATGTGCACGGATGCCAGTTTACTGACAATTCAATTATTAGTGGTTCACAAACATGATTATTTAATGAATGCACATAAACTAATATGCTCGGTTAATATTTAACCAAAATATCTTTTTTACGGGCTGTTGCAATGATAATGGCAGCAATTGCTTTTCATTAGGGTGTATAAACCAAAACACGAAATAGTCATAAATTATTAAAGACTTTTGCTTATTTTTCTGGCATTTAAAGCTTTAGTTTAGTCGTTTTATAAATGTAATCAATTATTTCTTAATATTCATATTTTAATGAGTGCAACTAAAAACTTCGCTTGCTTCAATTAAAATGGTGAAATTATTTTAAAAAGCAAATAAATGATTTACACTGTTGGTATCAAATGAAGGAATATTCGTATATCAAAGTAATCAATTATTTCTTATTATACATATTTTAATGAGTGCAATTAAAAGCTTCGATTACCTCAATTAAAATTATTCGAAAATTAAAATGGTGAAATTATTTTTACGAAAAGAATTAAATGTCCATTTATTTATGTCTGAAAATAATTAATATTCATGCATCAATTAGTCATAATAATAAATTTTTCATTTAGCTCATGCATTTAATTGCCTTACCGATTTTTTTACCGAATGCAAAGAAAATAGTTTTGCCTAATGTGCGTATTTATTGACCATTGATTTCAAGAACTCCTCATTTATTTTTCTTTAACACTTTTGAATACTATTTAAGTTCTTTAAGTTCTTTAATATTTCGAGGTATGTTCCTGTAGCTTTAATTTTAAATCCTTAATTCGTTTCCATTATCAGCATTTATGCTCCCAAGCATATTCCACCTTTTTCTGCTGAAAATCGAAGCTGTCCATAAATAATCATTATTTTCATTAGCTTCGATTCTCCTTTGCCACGTCACTCTCAATTAGTTTTTGGCAAGTCCCGGAAGCCCGAGGAAAAAGGAGACTTAAATGCGATAGTGAAAATGTTACATTTCCAATTTAATTTTCCCTCGTACCATGGAAAAATCGTAAAAGAAAAAAGAAAGACAAATGGAATGGTTTATTTGAAAATTTCTTCGTTTTTATTGTTGCACGTTTCAACTTACTTCAGTTACAGTTGGTTTTTCATTTTCTTCTCATTTCTGTTTGTGTCACATTTAATATGCATTTTTTTATTTAACCATAGTTGGCTGCACACCAATCGTAACGTAAAAAGAGAAGGTCGTAAAACTATGCATAAATATTGATGAATGCCATCGACAAATGTAGAAATTATTTATGCAAAAAGGAGAGGAAGGAATAACTTATATTTATGCAACAAAATGTTTATACTTTAGCCAGCTTTAATATTAATATCAATTATTTAACATTACATTTAGTATATATTTTTTTACTCTATATAAAATGTTTCCTTTTTTTGTATTTGCATATTTTTAGGTTCATTGGTAGGCCAAGCTCATAGAGGAAATAGGAAAAAAGCTCTGAGAGATAAAGAGGATACTTTCAAAAGGTTTTTGTTCGATTTTCATTTTTGTTCGTATAGGAAAGTAAGGCAGCAATTTATGAAGAATTTGTAAGTCGGGACTTTGTTCATCGATCTTGTTGTTTTGTTTCAACTATTTTCACTAGAGGAAAGTAAGGCAGCAAGTTAAGAGTAGAGAGTTTGTATTGGTATTTCAGCAAGTGCTTTGTCACATTTAAGCCGCTTAGGTATACATTTATAAACACCCATACACATATATATATAATGCATGTATACATATACATATCTATTTGCTTGTATAACTATATATATCTACCATAAATATGATAATTTAATATGCCTGGATTTCCATATATACCATATCATTCCGCCAAGATCTAGTCAGCTAGCAACTCAGTACAAATATTTCTTGTTTGTCGGCTCTATAATCGTCTGCCAATATTCCTGATCCTTACAACTAATGCCAATTATTCAACACTAAAATGGTGTTCTGGGGCTTGTGAGGAATTTTAATGCAAGAGCAGATGGTTTAAGCATTGGTTAATAAGAGTAATTAAATATCAAATTGGTTTTATATATTTAATTGACTTAGAAGCTTCCATGCACCAATAATATAAAACAAGAAAAACATAATTGAAAAAAACATAAACATAACTTTTCATTATTTAATTTGCGTTTAAACAGTAAAAAGTTTAATATAAAAATAAAAATGTATTGTTATCAAAAATAAAATGCTAAACTTAATGTCCATCATCACAAGTCCTCAAAATTCCGATTACCAATATATATCCCCCTAAAAAATGTTTATCTACAGGATAATTTATCTGGACTACTGCAGCGCATAAACAGTTTCGTTTTCAAAGCAGCTCCCAATTTCTAAATTCGTTTTTAAGAATAGAACATAAGTAAGCTGAATATTAATATAATTTGTAATTATTTTAAAATTAGTTAGGCACTTCAACCGCAAACAATGAAACTGGATTCTGAGTTTTAATCCAAAAATCTTTGCTTAATAGGAGCCTAGGAAATGCGAGCAGCGATTTTTTATATTTATAAAAAATATTATTATTCATAAGTATATTATAAATTTGATGAAACTCTGGCAAGGCTCTTGAAGCTGTTTTTACTAAATGTTTAAGCCTTTAATTTGTTAATCCATTAACTTACATTTTTGTTTCACATTTTTGTGTAACTGTGTTGGTTTTCTTTTGTGGAAAATTTGCTTTCATTGATAGTTTATCACAAAATTTCACTGGTCAGCAACTATTTGCAAAACATTCATGGTATTGAAAAGGGATATTTTTTCAAAAGATTTTAAATTTTGAAACTAAGACGTTTTAAATTCTATTTTATATGTTTAGGGGGAAAAGTGAGAACTGAAAACCCCAATGCTATTCTATTCAATTTCTTTAAATTATATTTGTATTATGTTACCGATAATAAAAAAAAAGGATTTATATGTATTCTTCTGGTTAATTAATTAAATATTGAAATGAACAGTATTATATTTTGAAACTAAGTTGTAATTAGAATTAAAAACAAATCTATGTACTTAAATTGTATTAATTTTTTTTTATTATTTTGCTTATTTAATTATTTGGATAACTTTTTATTGTTTATTTATTTTTGCCTAAATAAGAAACTAAGAGAAATCTAAACAGAAATTCATTTAAATGAATTATATGAAATATCTTTAAAATTTAATTGTTTATCAAAAAATTTTTTAAAACTAGTTCAAAATCGGTTTTAAAATGTTAATATTGTTATAAAGGGTTCTGCTTTAATGGAAAAACATATATGGCTACCATCTCGAATAGTACAAATGTTGCCGACCAGTTTTCTCAATGCCTGTTCTAGCGTTTGCTTAACGATCACTCGAAGTCGCCTTCCTGGCGCCGACCCAACTTGCTCCTGAACCCCGCCATGTGCTTGCCCAGACTGCGGCCCGCCGATGAGATGATGGAGGACGATGGGGACAGTGAGGACCCCTCCTCCGCTCCGTAGTTGGCCTGATATGTGACTGGGAGCTCTGGCGACGGGGCCAGGAGCAAACCTCACGTCCTCACGAACTTGTAGACGATGAGGAATACCATAAAGGACAGGGCCACCAGGACGACGGCGGTGACCACCTTGGCGCAGGTGTTCAATCCCGACTCATGGGGATTCAGTGGCCGGGAGCTGGTGTGCGTCGCAGATCTCCTCCGCTTGGTGGCCAAACCCCGGGCCAGAGCCGGAAATGCCAGGGATTGGGTGAAGGTGAGCTTGTGTATCGACTCGCTGAGGCTGTACGGACCCACGGAACCCCGGGCAGCGGCCCTCAAGAGCACGTACTCCAGGTCCAAGGCATCGAACAGGGAGTACCGCGCCGTCATGGTGGAGGATCTGCGCCTGCCGTCGTGCCTGGAGTCCCGCTCCCGGTCGGATTGCGGCTGCAGCCAGGGATCGGAGACGCGCTGCTGGACGCCCGCCGCGCCCACAGCGTAGGCGGAGCCGGAGGATGAGCCGCAGGTGGTATTGGTGGCACCGCCTGCCCCCGAGCTGCCCCCACCACCTCCGCCGCCGCCCCCCCCACCGGCACCGCCCAGGCTGACCGCGGCCACGGATGTCAGCGACGACGTCGTCGATGAGGAGGCCGAGCACAGCCGCAGATTGGTGGGCAATCCATTGTCATGAAACTCGTTGGCATCCTCGATGGAGGTCTGATCGGGGGAGGTTTGTGCCCGTTCCAACGCAGCCGCATGCTTCATCCGCAGGGCAAAGAGTCTGGCATGATCCGGATGGAGGAGGGCACTCGATTTCCTCCGCCCATTGCCACTCGGCACCACACAAATGCTATTCCGCATGCCCCTCCGCCCGAGGGACAGATTCGGCGATCCCTGGGTGGGCGTGCTGGTGGGCGACACATGGCAGGATCCACCTCCAGTCTGGCCCAGCGGCAGGGTGTGAACCCCCGGCGGAGCGATGAAGGCGTTCGGCGAGGGCGAGGCCTGCACCGAATCGATGCCAGAGTCACCGGCGTGCAGGGTATCACAGTACAGGGAGCTGCGCCGATCCGTGGACAGGCTGAGGTGGTTCGTGCTCCGCCTGGCATTCAGACTCAGGTTGGTGCTCCCAATACTCCCACTGCCACTGGCCACCTCCAAAGCTATCGGACTGCTGACACTCGTCTCCACGATGGCGGGGAACACAAAGGACTGCCCATCCGCCTCCCCACGCGGCGAATCCTGCAAGAGTCCAGATCACATATAAGATAGGCTACATTTCTAAGGACATCATTTTCGGGGGATCAATGGGATTCGGGGGTTTTTAAGCTGGTTTCTCAAGTGCAGTGTGGGAATCGCTGCTTTTCGGGGGGAGTGGGTATTTCTCAGTGGTGACTTGGTTAGTTAGGTGGTTCAAAAACTTATTTCGGTACAGTGGTTGGCATTATTTTGTACAGGGGTGGTGTGTCGTGGGGTTTACTTACACAAGGTGATTTTGGATTAGCTTGAGCAAGTGCTGATCGACAAGAAAAGTTCAAAAGCAATCAAGGTAATAAAATAGTGATAATTTACCATTTATTCATATTTATATAAAACTTTATGCAATTTTAGATTAGAAAACTTTTGCTAAGTAATTTAATAAGAATTTATCCAACAAGTTTACTTAAGGATTTTAAACAAACTATTATTTGTGCTTAAACTTAAGATGTTGCTTTAAATTTAAAGAGTTTAGAGTTTAAAACTAATTTTGTAGTACTTAAAGCTTCTTGAGTTTCCAATTAAATAGTTTTAGATTTGTAATTTAATGCAAAATTGTTAGAATACCAACATGAGAACTAAAACATTAAATGTGTTAATTAAACAGGTTGCTCGCCAAGTTTCGTTAGTGAAATTTCCATCAATGATTGCATATTTGTTTCATAACATGTACAAGCGCAAAAAGTAAACAAATTGCCAGCGTTTCAGCCAAATTCAATAAATTTTCCTTCTCAATTGTCGACCAACGTTTGCCAAAAATTGTGCATGAAAAAATAATAAATATTTTAATCGAACAAAATTCCCAATAAATTACATGAAAAACGAGTTCTAGGTAAAAACACGTGTAGAATACACAAAAATAACCTCAACAAGATTGGGTACTGTGGTCAGATTTATACAGTTAGTAGTCAAAAAAGTTTAGCGCTCGTTGGAGGCGGTTGTTTTTTATTTTTTATTCAAATTGTTAATCGAGGCATGCAAAAATTCTAGTTAGGAGTTACGAGTAGCATATACATGAGATAGAGAGTAGAGAAAAGAAGTGGAGCAGACTAGAGAGGCTGGAAAAAGAGGAGGAACTGGATGGAACCATACCCGCTGGCCCTCGGGGCCGCTGTTACGTCGCAACTGAACGAAGCCCTCCTGGCGCAGGAGCGGCTACCACAACAGACCAGCAATCAAAACCGAACCAGAATCACAACCAAAGCCAAAACCAAATCCAAATCCAAAAACCATAACCAAAAACCATAACCATAACCGAACCAAACACGCAACGCACACACAGAAGGATATGTATGTATTTGAGGCGGGTGGTGGTGTTTGGTGATGTTTGGTGGTGTTTGGTGGTGTTTGGAGGAGTTTGGTGGTGTTGGTGTAGTGGGAAGAAATAGAGAGTCGGAGAAACAAGTTAACGCAAAAACGCACAACTGGCCACAGCATAAAAACAACTCGCTTACGAGTGGTTCAAAAAAAAAATAAAAGAGAACGTAAAACTAAAAAGCCCCAATTTTGAAAACTGTTGCGGTTGCTTTTTCCCCAAAACACATATATTGGTCTACATTTTCTTTTCAACTTTTTTTTTACTGGTATACACAGGGAGAACAAATTGTTATTTCCCCAACTGTGTGTTAGGAAAAGCAAAAAATGGGGAGACAAGTGCCTACCTGGCTGGGCCACACCTGCAGAAGTGGCAGCGAGCAGGAGGGCTTGTTGTTGCCGGACGGCCCAATCGCCGTGGACCCCGCTCCGGACGCAGTGGCTCCGCCCGTCGAGGACGAGGTGCCCGATCCCTGCGACAGGCTGGTGTAGTGCAGGTGGTTAAATCTCTGGGCATCGCTGCTGCCGCCGGCGCTGGACGCCTTCGTCCTGGTTGGACTCTCATAGCCGGTGGAGTCCTCCGAGGACGTGGTCTTTGGGGAGCGCCAGAATCGCTTCAGGCGCAGCTCGCGCCTTTTTTCTTGTTTCTGCAATGTGCAAACGCGGATTGATTAATTGCCTTTCTTCCTACCTTCATTTTTCGTATATGTGCGTGTTCATTAGCCGTGTTTGTATGGTTAATAATTGGAATATCAACCCATTGCAATGGGTTGCACAAAAAATTGTGTATATGTGTACATAATGGGTTCTTCTCTTAAAAGTATGAATTTAAAAAGCCTGAAAACAGCATACTGTTTAAAATGTTAAATAAACAACGCTTCATTCAAAAAAAAATACACTAAATTCAATGAAATAAGAATTTATTAAATAAATTTAAAATATAAATTTAATGCGTAAATTCCTTTTGTCACATATATTGTAGACTATATTTATTTTCTTTGTGGTACATTTTTAAATTTTTTTACCGTTTCATTACTCAGTCTCGGCACTTTCCTGTTCCATTTTGAGAGGTTCACCTTTTTTCCATTTAATTGAATAAATAAATGGTTTCCAAATAACAATTACTTAAATAAATGAAAGGCGTTAATTGGCTTGTATCATGAAGTGCACTTGCGTATGTGGGTGTTTATTAATGTTATTTAAATGGAGGTAAAAGGCATAACATGAAACGTTTAACGTAACAAAAAACATGTTGTAAGCTATAATTGTTAATTGAGTTTTTTGTTTCACGTTTAATAATTTTGATATAAAAAAATGGTTTATTTAGTATGCATTGTATTTTTTAATTTCAAATTTAATATAAATAAATTAAATTGCATATAAATTTATTCCACATTTTCTAATGTCTAAATTATTACTCAATGGTTTTTGCTTTCTCATGATTTATTCCTAAATCAGCGATTATTTTAAGGCCGAAAAAACTGAATAATTCAATAACTCAATCATTTGCAGCTTTCGTTGAATGTAGAACGCTTTTCCGATTTAAAGTCGTAAGCATTTGGGCACTTTGCTGGTAATTGAAAATTAATTGACCGCAACAGATACCCGTTTGACGGAGTAATTTAATTTACGCACTCGCGTGTGGCTTTGTTTCGGGCATGAGCAATTGCCTTTGACATTTTCGTGCGGTGCCACCAAATATTTGCGTTGGCTATGCAACATCTCTTTATGCGCCTCAATTTCGACCATCCGACCTTGGATGCTGTTGGCAGAAATTCGCGCATTATTTTTTCAATTTAAACTGTGGCATTTGCCGCTTGTTTGAGTTCCTCATTTCGCAATTTGTATGCATGTCAGCGGTGTGAGTGTGTCTGTATTAAAAAAAAGGCTTGTGTGTTGTTTTCCGGTAGCAAATGGCAACTACCGTGCAATAACAACAACTCACGGGCGGCTGAGACGTGACTTGGCCACCGCCATGTTGCATTTGCCGATAAGCCGCAGTCGCTGGAAGCCATTGTTTGCCATTGTTTGTCGTTGTGTGCCATTTGGTGTACGGTGTACTGTGTTTGGTGTTCAGTGCCCGCGACCCTTTTCCAGCATATTGCCAACATGTGTGCCTAGAGTGGCCCTGTGATTTTTTGTCAAATTCGGCTGAAACAGTTGACTTTTAGCCAACAAAAAAAATGAAAGCCAATATAAATACTGCAGCTTCTTGAGGTCTAGATAGTCAAGCTTCCCTAGCACACGTTGTAATATCCTTATCTTTCTGCAGAGTACATCACTCATACGCAGTGTTGTTCTTGAAGCTACGGTGTACAAATTAAAAATGAAACAAACTGGTTCGGTAACCACAAAGCGGTTCTGTGGTTTATGACTCACTCGCATTGTAATCAAAATTTAAAAATAATAATAATACCAAATGGTTTTTAACAATCACGCATACGCAGTGTTGCAAATAGTAAATAAAAAGTTTCATTTATTTTTAGTTTTTATGCATGCGAGGAAAATTATAGAATTCTTTTTGGTTATTTATTTATTTCATTCTCAGGAGCTCTAGGCATTTTTTAAAATATAATATCAACTTTAATTTTGAAATTTCCCCTAAAGGACCTGAAATAGTTGCCCTTTTTAGAAAATTTTCTAACAACTAAAAATAACTTAAATATATTAATTTAAAGAAATATAAATTACTTTTTAACATATGTTTTTTGTATAACCAAAATATCAAAACTTATATATCTTAAACTTATATAAGACCACCCTAGCGTTCTTATATCGGTACGTAATTTTACCTGCATATTTTTTTAATATCAAATCCGTTTTATGTGTTTGGTGTTTCATCCCCAGTCCGTTGTGGCGCAAGACGAAAATCGATGGAAAACTGCACAGGCATAAATTCTGCAAAAAAAGAAATCGAGCCGGAGAAATTGATAAATCAAGCAGTCGTGCAGGAGTTCGAATGCAGCATTTCTGTTGACCCCAGAGGCCTCATGCGAGTCCGAAAGATGTCCTGGCTTTCAATTCATTTTAGCCCAAAGGAGACGGATCGAATTCACGGCATGCCGGAAACATATTTCAATTGCTTTACCTCGTGCAAACAAGCAGGGAATTTTAAAATGCTTTCTTTTCAATTCGATTTCAGCTTGCTGGAAGGAAACGTCATAGCAGGAAACTGTCGCACATTAACACGCTGGCAAGGACAAAGGCAATGGCGACGACGCCATTAGTGTTTGACAAGGACATTTCACACACACACACACACACACACATATAGCTGAATGGCAACCGCAATATGAAGAACAGTACGCCTTCCCATGCCAACATTCATGGTGGTCAAGTTGAAGGATATACTGTTGGTGCCAGGATGGATGAATGCTTTTGCGACGCCTGCAAGCATAAATCAGACGCTCGGACACGGACCCGATTCCGGATCCACTCCGGAACCCCCAAAAACCCTCAAAACCCCCCTCCCTAGCCCCAATGTTGCCACAGCTGCGTGGGTCAGTCCAATAATTAGTTTGAGCAATTCAATTCGTTACTTTGAATTGAGTTTGCCTTGCGGATCGCATCACTGGCTAATGGGTGTTGTTGACAATCTTAAGTGCTGGCAACTGTCCCCAGAGTGCGATAATTTAGTGTTTACGGCTTCATTTAAATGGCACTATAATAATTTATAATGCCCCTGATTAATTTATAGCTGCTAAATTGCGGGCAACCTTGATTTATTTTACGCTGCTTGTCTGAACATGGATTTTTCCTGTTTGTGCGCTTTTTGAATTTATTTTAAAAGCGTGCTTTAATTAGTTTATTGTATTTGCACACGAAGCCATTTCAGTTTGGTTATATGTTTGATATTAAATATTATATTTTCCACCACATTTTGCTTTTAATAATACGACACTACTGTATTTAAGCTTATTAAAATCTAATTTACGCTTTCTTTTAATACTAGGTTGGAATTTGATATTTCTTGCGCACTTGCAATATACTTTTTCAAAAGAACCCACTTTTAAGAAAGGTAAAGTTCTGAAGTAGTTTTATGGTCTCTACAATTTTACTAGTGCTTTCTAAAAATGTAATTATGAATGTACAAATCATATTTTTATTTACTCTTTTGGCCAGAGGTTCCTTTGTCCAGCTTAAACATTTAACTTCCATGTGTGAAAGTGATCGTAAACTTTTCCCATTTTCTCTATAATTCCGTTGATTGCCTCAAGGATGCCACAAGTTCTGTGTGCCCATCCAATGACCGTTCCCAACTGCTTTTTTAGTTCCCACAGCCACAACAGTCTGACCACTCTTAAACCTATATAGACAGGGACACCTGGTCCGATTCCCAGCCCCACACCTGCCTGATTGCTTGTTGCACATACGAAACTTGCCGTGGCAAGGACGTGGGTTACTGTTACCTCAACTTAACGACATTCACGTTTTATTTTTTGTCCTGCCGACTTGAACTCGAACTCGTTGGGAAAAAAGTTTGCCGTAGTTGTAATGCTAGAGGTGGTGGTGGTGGTGATTGTGGCCTTCGACCTGAAGGTGCCACCACCCTCCGAACACCTTGTCAATCGATGTCAACACACGAGTCCGACGGTCTCATTGCCATTGTCAAGGCCCCGGATAGTCCGACTCTACTAGTATATCATATGCCCGCACACTTGCAGCTCGGTCGGCACTGAACTGCCACTGCCCGTCTGCGATTTGGAATCGCCATTGCATATCAAGTAATTCCCAGACATAAATCGTCGACGGTTGGCTGGCTGGCTCACTTTCCTGCATAAATATTTCATTGGAGATGACATCGTGAATTGATATCCAAAGGCGAAGAAATCACTGCGAAATTACTTATTATTAAGTCTTACAAAATTGAACCTATTGGCTTGGGACATATATCTCAATCTCTATTGCAAATATAAAAAGTATTTAACCAATTTTGATTACAGAATAAAATTAGTTTGTCGTTTTTGTATTTCATTATTTTGTTTTTCTATAATTTTCCCCTTTTTTATTATATCTCTTTTCCAAACTTTAAGATTCTATGAATTTCCTCTACCCATAAAAAGGTAAAATAATAGAAAAGCATCTAAATTTCAGCAAGCTTTTATATTTAAAATAGAAAATTTGGTTTTACATAATGGTAATGGCTTTATTTAAAAAGCTTTTAGGAAAAGTAAGTACAATTTATTTTCTGTTTTAAATATTTATCTCAAAACTATGGTTAATTGTAACCTTTATTCATAGAATTTGAATGTAACTTAATTTAAGGCATGTCGGAAATTGTTCCATTGCTTTTATGTACGAAATATTCATTATTCCTTTTGGAAATAAATTCATAGCCTGGCCATTGCTCATCTCACATTTCAATAACATCTAGCCTCCAGTTGGGTTCGCTCTGGCTAGTTTTTGCATTGCCGTTTTTTAAGCCCCCCTGTCCACAGATGATAATGTCCTTATCCATTTGCTGTCAAGCGTCCTTGGAGCGTGTCATGGCATAAACTGGAGATCTTCGAGGGGCTGGGAAAGACAAGACTTTGAGCTTACTCCTCCATCACGACAGCAATTATACAAATAGCAGTTGTAGTTGGTCCCAAGTTCGCCCCCTTTTCACTCGCTTAACTCGCTTCTTGTGTTGAGCGTGACCAAAATTTTTAAATTGAAATAAATTTGCCTGCTTGTGTTTCGGCAGTGTCCTTGTTGTCCTTTGCTGGCTCCCTTCTCATATCTATATAGTATCGTTATCGTGTTTGCTTAACGTGTTTTCCTTGCCTCGTTTTTGTACAATTCCACAATTTTCGTTGCTGTTGCATAGCTTGCCTTTTTTTTTGTTTCATTCTTCTGTATTTGAATTATAAACAAATTTTGTTGCCCGAGGCCAGTTCCATGCACGGTCTAATGTCAGGGGTCAGGGCCAGTCCTAGACACGTCTGTGTGAGAGTGTAAGGACACGGCCGCTTTATCGCCCGCTTCCTGACAAATATTGACAGCTCAGCCAAAGACAGACGTTTGCACTGGCCAGCTAAATCATATTTAATTAGCGGCAATTTGGGCAATTGTTATAAATGTCGAAATGTCCGGCCAGCACGGTGGGTCAATTTTTAGGAATCACATTTTAAGTTGATAAATACAATATCTAAGCTTTACAACTTTTAAAGTCTTAATGTGAATTTGAAATTTAATTCTTGCTATAATTATTTTTGATTAAAATTTCTGTTTTATACTTAGCTACTCTCATAAGCTTTTACATTTTTGTAATGTTTTTAAATAAACAAAACATTTTCTTACCTTTTTAAATATTTTTTATATAAAGTCCAAGTATTATTTATTAAAGAATTGCCATAAGGGACCAACTCTTAAATATTCTTAATCACAGGGAAAAAATTATCTCAAGTAAACTTTTTTAAACAATTCAAATAATCCTTTCTAAAATTTCCAACCACTCTGGTGTCTGTTTGGCCTAGATGAGGAAATTCCTCTTTCATAAAGGCAACTTTAACGGCAATACTAAAAGAAAATCCAGACAAAAGCAATTTAAATTTTATTACACACCATTTAGTCAAAGTGCCAGAACTTGGTGAGTGAGTAAGTGTGTGGTGGAAATTATTTATGTAGCCCGTGCGGCCAACAATGTGTTTTTTTGCTTGGGGTCCGGTACTTTTCTTCGTTTTTTCGGCTGCGGCACTAAACTTTCATGTGTAAAATATTGCTGCATACTTTGCCGGGCAACCAGAGCCGTTTACCTCTCGAATAAAACGTTTTCTGGTGTTTTTTTGTGGGAGTCGTTCAACTCTCATTGAAGTCAAGTCATTGTTTTTGCCCCACCAGTATTTGACTTAAAGCCAACTGGACCCTTTAATGGATTCCGAGTTGTGTTTTTTAGTTTGGGGGTCCTGTGTTTGTCAACCTGTACATTGACCTAGCCGAGAATATGCTGGGTATGGGATTAAGAAACTTGTTTGAGGTACTTATTAGCTGCTAAGAACCGCCCTTACCCTCATTTGTTAAGCTTCTTTATGGGGCCAGTTAACCCGAACCCGAATTCATTTGGCTTACGCACAGATTTTCACTTCGCCTTTGACAAATGAAATGGGTTGAAGGTATAGGACTTTTCCTAACTCGATCATGATTTTCTAGAGATTGTTAACAGACGCAGACAGATTGGACTAATTACGTTTATTTCGGCCTCTTTTAATTGCTACTCAAGAGGGTTACAATTTAATTTGATTAATTTTTATTTGAGTATTTTGATTTTCAGCAGGTTAAGCTATTAATTCTTAGCCTAGGCATTTAAAATTAACTTTGATTTAATTTAAAAAAAATTATGCTAAATTAATGAAGTAGATAAGCAGACAATAATAACTTTTGTAACAGAAAATATTATTTTGAAAGTCTGACAATAAAATAAATACTTTTAAAATCTTATTGAGACCTAAACCACAAATAAATAAATAAATATTTCATATTTTTTCATTTCATAAAATCAAATAAAATGTATTTTAGTCAAAGGATATTCCTTGACTTTGCATGTGAGACATGACATCATAACATATTGTGCTAAGAAATTCTGTATACTTCCGAAGATTTCCATATTTATTTTGCTTAAGTAAATTTACTCATTCTCTGTTTATTAAATCTTCAGTAGTGAAATTGAACTGTTCATTGATTTTTTTAGCCTTATATTTCTTAGCTTCGCTTGAATATTTCAACCATTTGTTCAAACTTATTCTCAGACTGCCTTGAATTTTCCGGACCCTTCCCGAAGCGCTTTCCGCAAAATGGAAGCCAATGGATGAAAAATTTTTCCACTCAATTGAGCAGCAACTCAGCTGGCAGCTCGACTGAGTTTCATTTCTTCCCAGCCATTCAGCTTCCTTGGCAGCTTCCTCTTTTGACTTTCTGCCTCTTGGCGACTGCTTTATGCAAAAGCAATTAACTTAACTTTTATTTTCCACCTTTTCAGGTATTCCCTCTCAATACGGAATTTGCATAAAAACGCGAAGGCAGCGAAATGAAAAAAAAGGACGTCCAAAAGCTGGACCACTCTTTCCGGCTATCTTATTATTTGATTTCGCTTATGGTATGTTTGTCGTATTAACAGTTTAGCACATTTTACGGTCAAAACGTGACATTTTGCTGCCTATGAACCGTCTGTTTTAGGAGCATTGTATCTGCATTTGAAAAGCGCTCCTAGCATTTGGTGTCCGTCGAGGGTTTCCCGTTCTTTGTTATCCGTATTTGTCGCTTTCCACGTTTCAAAATACACTACGTTTTTAGGGCCTTTGCTGCAGGATAACAGCTTTTGTTTTTTATATCCTTTGCAGGGGCATTCCTATTCTCCTGGGGAGTTGGTCAAGTGGCGAAGAAAATTCTGAAATGACTGGCATCGAAATGCTCTTGTCTAAGGCACTTAAAAAGGCAACTAGTTTTCACAGCCACGAGGTTAAGATGCTGTCATTGTTTGCACTGCTGAGCTCCTTGAAATTGATTTTGATTCCACTTGACTTGACGTCGATAATAATGTGGTTGTAGGTCAATAAATTATTGGGTCATTAATTGGAATTGTCTTTGCTTTTTGGCTTCGAGTTTTCACTTATCATAACTTTAGAGATTTTATGCACGGTCTGGCACTTTGGATTTAAAGTTTCGCAGGTGAAAATTTTTGTATATTTTCTACAAATACTATTACAACCAGTAGGATAGATTAGTACAACCTGATTTTCTTTTTATATTCTTTTCAATTAACCTGTCCTAAATGCTTTTAATTTTATAAGCAAATTTTTAAAAAATGTTTTCCTCTTTCATAAAACTTTAATTGTGATAGTATACCAAAAATAAAACTTAAAAATATAAACCAAAAATGTATGAATTATTTGGAAATATAATTTAAGTCTAAAAGATTAATAATAACATTAGTTGCATAAAGTAATTTAAAAATATATTTACACCACCCTTAAAAATCATTTAAATAGCATATCTTAACTGCCACAATTTCCTAGAACTCAACTTAATCCTGATAATTTAGTTCGCAGGAAGACCGAGAGGCAGGATAAGAGCATCAAAAGTTCTCCTTGTGGTGAGCTGGCGCTTCATAATTTGGGTTTCGAGGCAGGTAGAAGTGCTCGCTCCTGACTGCCATTGTATTTGTGCTCGTGCACTTGTAGTTGCGGTTGTATGGGTGTTATTGTCTACGTGGCAAAACTTCCGCTGTGGTTTTGGCTGCTGCGGTGGCTTTTGCTCGCTTCGGTGGCTGCGGCAACCGGAAACGCCAAACACTTTCCGGTCACGCAGTCACAAGGTTTGCCCTTCTCCTCTCCTCCCCCCTGAAAAACCCAAAAAAAAAGGAAAACCAAGTCTCGAGCAGTCACTTAAGCTGAAGTGTTGTTGTGCGCCAACCATTTTGTGGCCACAACAATAACAATAGGGCCAACAATGAGGGCAACTCAATTTCTATGCGTAGCACAACGCGACTTTTCGCAGGGCGAAACTTTGCCAAAGAGCAGCCACAAATTGTCGGGGAAGAAAAAGTTACCAGACCGCTTCTAGTTTTGCATTTCAAATGTGCCAAATAAGTTTTTAATTGAAGAGAACTTGCAGTCAAAGTCAATAGCCGTAAAAAACGGGAGCACACACTAAGTATACGCACAGTGGTACGCATAATCATTTGATTATCTGGACAAAAATTACATTGAGCTTAAATATTAATACTGATCTGTATCGAGAGTTCACTGCTTGTGAATTCTTTAATATCTTAAAAAGCAATATAAAACACAGTTATCATCTTATCAATCAAGCTTAATATGCCCTTATATATAAATACTTTTAGGTATATACAAAAATCGCAAGTCAGCTAGACTTAGAGGTGATAGCTCAGAATACAACAAAGAACATATAGTACAAAAAAATGCTGCTTAGATTTTTTTATGGTACATACAATTTGATATTCGAAGTTAGTTAAGTTTACTAACAAAAGCCTTCTGTTATTTTGATCCATTTGTTTAACTTTTTAATAAATATATCGAAAAACAGTTAACAAATTGTTAATTTTGAATCAACGACCTCGAAAACAGACTGCCGCCGCTTAACATCAGAATATACCATAATCCACGACTCCATGGCACATGGGGAAACTCTACCCTGATTTACGCACACAAATCATTATCGATTATTACCGAAGTCATGTGTATAACGAGCATATTCGATTAAATGCCCAGTCCATTAGTTAATCGTCCTTGGTCCCGCCACGAACCTGACCCTTCCTTTGTGTGCCGGTGTTAATAAGCCAAAAGTCAATGTGTTAAATGAGCTGTGGGGTCGATCTGCCATCGAGGGGCAACTGGAAGGGTCTGTGAACTAGACGTCGTGTGAACATTCAATAAAAGAAATGGGTGAAAAACAAAGGATGACTTTTGCCGTCCAGGTGGCAGTCAACAGTTGAACTATGGTGGATTTGAGAGTAAAAATTATAGGGGATGATTGGGTAAAGGAATATTGAACTTTGTTCTTTACAAATATAGAAAGATTTTACCCATGGTGTTGAAGTTTTGAATAGCTATTTTATTTTAATATAAATTGTTTATACCATAAGATCTTATATCGAAAAGTGTTTATTTCCTAACAAAACCCATAAGAAAATTAATTAAATGCTAATACGTAGATAAAGGTTTTTGCCTGGGCTTTAACCTCCGTGAACGGTTGCCATTTCTTATGCGCTTGTCGGTTATGGTTTTAATGCCCTTTCCTGCCATGTCTTTGCTACAAACGGTGGGCTGAAATGTGATTTCAGTTTATGTCATTTTGACACGCTAATACACTTCCTCCTTTGCCCGATTTCGCCATTCATGCCAAGAGCAGGCAGTTATAATCTAAGGCATTGTTAGCCAAAATCCATTTGCCATATTGCCAACTGGAAGAAGAGCTGGCTGAATAACTTGCACTCGAGTGCACTTTGCCTTCATCATGATCATACTCATCGACGTAGATGTTTGGCATTCAATTCAATTAAGTGAGTTTAACTTTTGTGCAAAAAAAAAGTGGATAAAGAAAGCCAAGGATAAAGTTGAAGTACGAGAACAAAGGGAATGATTTTGGTACGAGTATCCGTTGTCTGCCTTATAATTGTTTCCATTTGTTCTCATCAAACTTTTCCGATTCGTAGTTTATTTGACTTTTCCCACGACTTTTTCTTTGTAAACGCACCCTGCCTTAAACTATCTAATCGATTGTGGTGTGAACTTTATGCCAAAGTGTGCTTTGTTTTTTTAATTGGTAAAAATTTACCAATAAAATCAACTGATCAGTTTATTTCTGACCTTTTTCCTAAAATAACTAAAGAGTATCCCAATTATTTTTTCTGTGTAGTTGCCAAACTTCGTTACTGCTTTCTGACCTTCTCCCCAGTTGAATTGATCCACCTTTCTGTGGACCTTGGCTCTGCAAATTTCATTTGTGCATTCTGGTGATGCCGATGTCGATGTCGCTGCACTCTGTTGCATTTTATAAGCTCTACGTGGCAGCAATCACCCCGAGGAAAACACCACTTACTCTTGCCCCTGGGAAGTCCTGTTGCCCATGTGAAACGTGGGCGCCATCGGTTTTTATTTTAACCCATAAAAGTACTTGGTGCATGCAAGTTTGTTGTGATTGTGCGGCCATTGCTCATATGTCATGTGGTATAAGAGCTAACAAGACCCGTAAATTGGTGCATTATTTTCTAGGTTAATTGCTCTCCACAGAGTTCTGGAATGTTAGCCACTCCATTTCAATGATTTATTAATGAATTTGGTAGTGGAAAATTCTTGTTTTCTAATTCAACAGATAGCAGGACATTGTACATGCTAAATGTCGTATGACATTTGGAAGACTATGTCTTGCAATTGAATATTTAAACATTAATTTCGAAACTTAGCTACTGCAGTTCTATTTTTAGTATACAATATATACTGTTGACTAAGAGTTGTTCTTATGATTTTAAAATTTCCCTAACTTTAATATCACACCATTTTCTATTGCTCAATTTTTTCAACAATTACTTGTTTTAAATGTAGATATATAGAGTCCTCCTTCGACATTCTTGATCAATTTGTAACCTGTGTCTTGCATAGCTTCGGTTGGTTAACCAATTATTTAAATAATTTATTGCGACATCGAATACCTGTATTTATTCGACCTTAAAACCTGTGACAGCCAACCCAAAATCAAAGCCATGTATTGCAGCTCAGAGGAGCTAGACCTCCTGCCGTTTTCACATCCTAAATTTTGCATAGTTCGTATCCTGCAGAGAAACCGGCACTTAGAGGACTGAGGGCTGTCGTCAATGTCTTTGTGGCACCGCTGGGTTAGTGGGAAATCAGCGTCGGTTTCCGTTGCCCCAGTCTTATAATTTATGCAATTGCGGTATGCAAGGAGGGTCGCCACTCGGCTGCCATGATGCAATTGTCAGCATTTGGCTTCGGTGGCACCGCAATCGCGAGTAATTGTGGAATGCCACGGGGCACCAAACTCACACAGCGAAAAAAAAGGAAAAAAAAATGGGGAACAGGAGCGGGAAACCAACGTTGATGCTGATGTTTTGTGGCCTCAATTTGCTTAAACAGGCAATTAATATGCGCGGCAACGTTGTAAACAATGCCATTGGGGAATTGCGGGATAACCCCTTTTAACCCCTTTTCACTAATGTCCAGAATAAACACACTTGTGCGCGGTTCTTGTTTGGCTTAATTCAAGTTAATTTAATTTACAATTCAGCTGACATAACAGTGGAAATTCCTGCAACGGCAACTGCAACTGCACTATCGAATCGACTCCATTCGTCCGACCATGTAAATGGTATTCTGATCCTTGATAACGAACACAAATGGCTTGTTTACATTGACGACTCTTTGGTCATTGTCGCCCCCAATATCCGCGCTCACTGAAAGTATAATTATTAGTTGACACACAATGAATTGTAAGAAAGAATCATTAAATATCAAAATATATCTTATCTGGCTTTGTATAATTCATTTTTCATTTTTTAAGTTTTTGGAATTGAATTAACCGTCGATATGGCAAAGCTCACAAATAGAAACTAATTTGATTAGTTATAAATGCAAGCCTTCTTTTCATTCTTAAATTAAAAACCAATTTTTTTAGCTCTTGCTAAGATTATTTTGATTGGTGTTGCTCAAAATAAACTTACTTAAAACCCGATTTGGCTTGGATTCCAGTTGGGCGTACTGCCTAAATTTTGCCACAGTAGCCTGACTATCATCATCATCCTCAGTGAAGATTTTCTTGATACCCAAGGCTTGTAGGGCATCATTTAAGTTTATGGTTTCTTGGACGGTAAATATGGGTAAAAGCAGATGCGTTTCCTCTGCTTTTTGCAATTTTATTTGTAAATATTTATCCAGATTTTGTAGGACTTTCTGGGTGCTGAGTTGTCGTCTGGGTAGCAATACCAGCATGCCAATATCGGTCTTAGAAAATGGGATCATAACACCACGAACATCTTCGTCGTTGAAATACTCAAAAGGCGCTACAGTGTACATCATTTGGACCTTATAGACGAATGGCTTTCTATTCGGCCTTGCAATGCTAAAGGGCATTTTCGACATTGAAATGGCTCGATGCTTCCACAAAGGTGATACTGAAATTCCCTGCACTGCCACCATTTGCGTGATGTTGCTTACATCATTGTTGGCAAATAGATTGAGTCCACTTTTATCTATTAAATTATTCAGCCACTGCTTGATTTCATCCTCTGACTTTGAGTTTTCGGCGAAATTCATGTTCTCCACATCTACACCGATATTTGCACTCAATTTCTTTAATTGCTCCAAAGTACTGTAATCCGGTGCTAAATAAATTCGATTTGCCATTGTAAAGTCTTGTTTGATCGCTTTGAAACGAGCTTTGCCGAAATAGGATATAATCTTTCCATTGAGGCGGCCAGTAATTTTAAGGGCCCTGGCCAATTGGTAATCCCTGCGAGTATCCTTTCCCAGATATAGAAGAACCAGAGCCTGGCGAATCGCAAATGGAGAGACCACAAAGTTCTGCGATAAGTTTCTGTTACTCAGTTGCCTTACCAAATTAACTTCGAATCTACTCGCAATAAAATGTTTGGCCAGAAGCAGCAAGATAATAAAAATTAAAATGGGTTTATCCATTTTTGAGCTTATTTTGTAACTGAGTTTTTTATATTGCTTTGAGAGGACCGGAAAAAATTCAATCCCATTAGGTACACTTAAAAAGTTAACATCTCTAGAATGTGTATGTAAAAGTTATGGCTTCGAATGGTTAATGCCACTTATTAATATATTTGTTATAAAATTGTACACTAAAATATATTAGGATTAACTTATATTAAAAACAAATAGAAATTAATTTTTTTTTTAGTTTATCAAGTGTATGTCTAAACTTTAGGAAAACCCATTTATATCATTAAAGTCATTGTATTATATGGTTACACATGAGTTCATGCACGAAACCATCTCTGAATAACTGTGTAATGAAACGAATTCAAATTAACACGGATTAGGGTCAGTTATTTTTTAGTTAGCCCATTTAAATATATTACTTTTAAAAGAATACATTGAATATTTCAGACCAATGTACAAGTGCATAGCTCTAGTGAAATTTGGTTGGAATAAAATTATATTTGCCTTTAAATAGCTTTGGAAAATCGCTAAAAACGCAAGCATATGAAAGTCTTTTTCTCTGCGATAAATTATAAATAAATTAAATTATGATAATAATTTTTTACTAAATGTGCACATTTGATCAAGATTAAACCAACCTGCTCTTCTGCTCTCCAATTAAATGGGGTAATTCAGCCAAGACTCATAATTATGTTAACACCATCTCTACGGCAACACCCCGGCACTTCCGTTTCTATTTCATCCCAGCGAGTTAACCGACTGCAATTTTAAATCCGAGCTCAGCCCGGTTCAGCTCGTGGCATAAAACGTTTGTGCGCTCATTGCATTTTAATGGCTTTTTAAGGCGCTGATGTTCCAGGACAGTGAGCAGCTGAGCGAAGGGAGAATCTTGCATTGGCAGTGGCTGAGGAGTCGATTCAGATATGCTGCCATACAACGCCCACATGGAGCTTCATGGAATCCTCGGGCACTCAGCGAAAATATACAATAACAAATTGGGAAAAGAAAAACCCTTGAGAGTTTATTTTCCAAGTAAGGTACAATTCGCTATTTGTCTTCTAGCTACAACATGAATTTCTTCTTATTTATTTACAAGACACAAATAAACGAGATTGTTTAAGAAATATGTTTACTTTAAAAGTACAATACAAATATTCTTTTCGACCACAATGTGTCAATACTTTTATATATAATATGATTTCAAAACACAATTTTGTTTTTCTAATAGCTCATTTGAGTTTTTCTAAGCCGTCGAAACCAAATCGAATATTTGTGAAAGTTGAGTTTTGATAAAATAGCAGTGTTCAAAGTTTTTTCTCAGTGCACAGCCATTTTCCTAAGCGTTTGCCACTTTATTGTGCCATCGTCTGTTTATCTCCGTCGCTGCCATTGACTCTGGCGTTTCCTTGGGCTGCTCACCTAGCTGGAAGCTCGGCGATGGAGGCAGGGATCCCGGAGGTGGAGGTGCTAAGGATCCAGGAGCCCCGGCCAAGACAGAGACAGAGGCACTCTGTGTGTGGCATGTCAGTGAGCACTTACACTAATTTCCAGTTATTTGCATGCAAAATTACCCGGCACCGGCAGTGGCAACGGCCATAGGAATAGCCGCGGCACCACAGGAGCAGCCAACACTAACCAACACCAACGCAAATGCAAACAAGCCTGACCGACACTAACAACGAGACCTGCTCCTTGCTCTTTCTACACCGCGAGAAACAGTTAAGTAAAATCATTGAGTAAATTAGAAACGCAAGAAAGAGGAGTAAGACATGAAGTTTTATCGAAATTTGAAGTCAAATTTACAAAAAGGACTTTTAGAACAACGTATGGGCAACGCTGCGTATGTGTAATAAATACTTTGTGAGCTTAAAGTTTATTACTCATACGCAAAAAAGAAGAGTAAGAGATACAGTTCATTCAAAATATTTGAGGTCAAATTCACAAAAATGTATTTTATGTAAACGTATGGGTAACGCTGCGTATGTGTAATAAAAACTTTGTGAGCTTAAAGTTTATTACTCATACGTACAGTGCATAACTACCCTAGTTTGTTTTTATTTGTTTAAAAAATATGTAATACATAGTCAATTAAAGTTTTAAGATTTATATCTGCATAAGATTTCATATCTTATTAAAATCATCGCAAATTTAATTAAATGCAAGATAAATTAATTCAGTGACTGGAACATTACTGGAACAAATAGTTTTAATTCTTGATGTGGCTTTTCGTGTTTTACAAGTCATTCTAAGGCGCAATCTTTTTTCAGTGTACATCTGGTCCGTCAGCCAATTAAAAGGAGAAAATTATGTTAATTTTGAGGGGCCTCGACTGCACTGTCATTTATCATTTGGCCCCGATTTCCCGGTATGGCAGCGGACCATTCCCTAACCCTGCTCGCCGAGCTCATTATACATCCCACTCAGAATGGAGCACCGAAATCCACCTCCACTCCTTTGCCACTTTGCCACTGACTTAATGCCCGTGATTGGCATTTGCCACTACGCCTACGCCTGATGGCAATTTTTATTCATTTGCCTTACTGCAGGACCCAGAAAATGTTGTGTGGGCATGAGCAAACACATGCAACACCCACCCACTCAGAAATACATACACACACATTGGAAGTCAGCCTTTTGCGAGGACATCAATAATTTATATAGGAGTTTGATAAATTATTTTGTATATCAGTCCGTTGCTGCCGCAACTAAATAAGTTAATTTGTCATAGGCAAGCTCAACAAAAACTTGTTCAGACATGTAAATGGTCTCGATGGGGCTTCGGTTTAAGCATTTGGTTGAGCTCTGATAGGGAATACATAATAAATTTGATATTAATGGTCTAGACATGTGTATGTAGGATAAACTACTTTGGCGTGTTTCTTATGCGGAGGAACAACCGTCAGTCAATTGTTAAGTTTTTATTGCTTTTGAAGTTGACAAATGATCACGCTATCCTTCTTTTCTTTATTTTGTTTTATCATCGAACTAATCTAAAGCTTTTAAAATAATTAATGCTTGAACCATACATTTATTTTTTGAAGAAGTGTTTAAGATTTCTCGGCGACATTATATATTCAAGACAGTATAACTATATAAATCTATAAAAGTATGACTCTTATTCAGATTATCATCATTCTTATAGTTCTATGTTCTTTCTTCAATTTAAAAAATGCTAAGAATTAAAATTCTTTAAGAAAAAGCAATGAGAATATGATATATATATACTATATTTATTCAAAATCCAATAAAAGCTATTAAAGCTCTTTCAATCGTTGCTTAAAGCCACTAACGCAGAACCCATTCAGTGCTTAATACAATCAGATTTTCTTTCCAAAGGTTAAACTTTACGGACTTCCACCACTTAATCTCTGGGTCCGGTTCAATTGCAAGTTAAACAACTCAATTTGCCCCGGAGAAGCTATCGAATATGGACAGGCAATTGCACAAGCCATAGCAACGAAAGGATACGACCACTGCCACACGCACATGTGTTTGGAAAAAGGGACAATCAATGCGATTTCCTGCGACTAGATAGGACTAAACAAAAACAGCAAAAACAACGGCGACAAAATGGAAAACAACAATTTAATTAAAAATTTATAAGCGTGTCGTTGTCTTGGCAAACAAGCAGCCAAACAAAGCAACAAACTGTTGCTGCCAAACACCCACACGAAGGCAAACAACCAATACAAATGCAGAAGGGGGAGCGGAAGTGGAGCACTCGAGCGCCCTCTGGCGCTGGAAAGCGACAGCACACACACACATGAGCAAACCGGAAATGGCCTGCTGCCATTGTTCTTGTCGCTTTTTTCCCACAACCCACAACCCACCACACCCCTCCCCCAACTCCCCCCCCATTTCGACTCGGCTCATTTGCTTTCGAGTTCTACTGGCTTTGTTTAGACTTCTGCCGGGCTAATTACTGCAGCTCGACTCTGAGCACCCATTGAGCTTAATTAGCACGAAAAAACTTTCTCCCGGCCACAGCGACATAATTGAAATGTTTACATTTACGTTTTGTTTCGCAGTTTGTTTTTTTCCCCCGCCCCGCTGTTTGCTTTGCATTTGCTACGAAAAAGTTTCAGCTTCCACATTCATTTCAATTAATTTGCAATTTTGTTAGATCATAATTCTATGCATATTCCGTAAGATGCCCCCCACTTCCGCATCTCCTTGGGCTTTGTTCTAATTCATCCTTTATGCTCATTATAAAAGCAGGGAATTACCTAAAGCCACTCAGTCGGCGTTGTCTGTGCGGAGAAGGTATTGTTCTGGCTGCGTAATTTATGGCCACAACCTGGCCATAATCTGGGCGAAGAGCACGCTTCTGAGTCGGCTATTTATAAATGGAGCTACTTCGGGTCGACCTTCATAAATAAGATAGATAATATACGACTTCAATAGATGGCGGTGTTGCGGTGATTGATGGTAAATGCGTAGTTAGCGAAACTAGCAATTTCCTGATTTAAAGATAATTATAGAGCTTATCCCTCTTTAATTCAGTAAAGCATAGCATTCGAAAAGATAAGAGTTAAGATATTAAACTCATCTATTGTAGTGATTTAAAGTTTGAAAATCCAAATTGGCTCTTAGAATCTCTTGAAATAAAGGTCAAATAAGTCCTTAATGGATACTATATTTTAATTTACATACTTTCTTAGCTTATAAACTTTAAGACATTAAGACAGTTTTTTGAAATCACTGCCCTCAAAGTCAGTTATGCATATCTGTCATGTACAAAATCTTTGTAAATGAAGTTAGCTAGATAACATTTTCAGAAAAATAATATATATGAATCATTACACCTGGATAATCCGCAAATAAACCATCATAAACTCTCAAACATTTCATTCACCTTAAAGTATCCTTTTGCAAAAATGCCTTGAGCGCTTAAAGTTTGCAAAAACATATTTGTAAGAAGCCAAAACAAATTCCTACCTTTTTTCCCCATCTCCTGCAGTTCATTTTACTCAACGTGCGCCACTTATTTATCTCCACCCCACTTTATCACTTCCCCATAATTTTCTTCTTTTTTGCCTTATGGGTAGCATATTTTTTGGCGCACGATGGGTGGGTGGGTCGGAAAATTGCGAGGTTTTCATTTCAATATCAGGGGCGTCTGTAAGACTCTTAAAAGCTTTGCCAATTGTTGAATATTTTACAGTTTTTTATTAGCTTTGTGTGTTTACCGATTGTCGCAAAAGGTTGTTCTGCTTGTTTGTGTACTATACACCCGCACACTCGTGCGTTTATACTCGGATATCCAACTTGTTCGCACGGTGGCACTAAATGCGCCGCTGCTTGTTCGCCTTTTTCGCTGATGTTTAACCTGACCGTGTTTCTTTTTTTTTGTGATTATTTCTCATTAACAGGAACGCAGAGAAAGCTGCGCTTATAACATTTTTGTTTTGCTTTTTTCCCTGCTTTCTGGCCCCGTTTTAATGGACACGGACCGTTGATTTTAACGTCTCGTGCCAGTTGACGTTGTTGTTTTTTTTGCTTGGCCGGGCTTTCTTCCTTTTTTTCACAAATTAGTCGCACGAACATTTTGCCGCTTTGGTGCCGCCTGCTCTGGAAAATTGTTTGCAACATGCAAAGCGGCGGCCACAAAATAGGCCGACAGCAAGCCACATAGCCAAACCCAGATCCACCGTAGACCTCGATGCTTTCAAGTGAAAACAAATATGCAAGCGGGTCGCACTGAAGAAGGCGCTTATTTTTACACTAGCAAAAGGTCCTGAATATTTTAGAAAATATCTTTAAGTTAGCGGATTATGAAATGGTTGAGGTATATTGTATATACTATAGTTTTATTACTAGGTAATTTAAGGCCGTGAATAAATATCAAAAATGCTGATAAAACCTAGGAAATAGCTGTATTATAAAATGGTTAAGGTCTAGATTCTATAGTGATATTACTAGATTATTTAAGTCAGAGAAAATAGCTAAAATGCTGATAAAACGTTGGAAATAGCTGTTTTATAAAATGGTTAAGGTCTAAAAACTATGTTAGTGATATTTCTAGATAATTAAAGACATTAAAAATAGCGAATATGCTAATAAAACCTTAGAAATAGCTGTCGAGTTCTTAATTTGCTATTAATTCGTGTGGAAACAGGATCTGTTTTTAAATATTAATATGTATTAGAGAAGGTAAATTGGGTTATAAATGTTGAGTTTATTTTCACTTTCTCTAAATAACGAACTAGAAACTTTTCATAAAATAAATAATTAGGCCTCTAAATGCAGGTTAGAATGTGAATAATTCCTGTGTATAATTCCTGAAACGATCTTTTATTAGTAAATTACAGCAGTTTCTTTTTAAATAATATGTTTTTTCTCAGTGTCATGAGATTATGTGGCTTTCTGTATCACGTAGCCATCTCCTGCCAAGCAGAAGGACCAGAAAGCAGGGACCAGGAATGCTCCTGTCAGCATTCTTCGGTGTCGTTCCAGCCAGACTGACAAATACACAAAGAGACATGCCACACATTGGGGGTCCGTTCTGCCCACTTTTCCCCCATTTTTCGCCATTCTTCCGAGTCCTTCGTCCTTCGCCGTGCATGCCACTCTTTTTGCCCCGCTGCGGCTGCTTACACGAAATGAATATGGATTTCCTTTTAATTACAACTCCATGGCCCGCACAAAGCCTTCCTTCCACATTCTTTTTCCGCGGCTCTGGCTATTTGTGCCTGCAGCTATTTTTGGCCCAAAAGTCTGAGCCAAGTAATGTTTTGGTATCAAATTTCCCCGTGTCTACTGCCAATCAGAGCGACAACAATGGAATCCCATCTTCTCGGCATGTTTACGTCTGCCTTATAGATTTAAATGCCACAATGGCAGCGGATTTATGGGTGGCCGAATTTGAATGTGAATTCAAATGAAATCTGTTGAATGCAAATATTTATTTGTTGTCTGTTATCAAGGTACGTTTTATGTTGTTGCGAAATGGGCGTTACGGCTTGTGGCTTGCATATTTATGTAAATCTTTATTTATGGAAAAGCGATTATATTGTTGGAATAACATTTTTTGTATTTCACAAATAAATTTTCCGATTATGTATTTCAAATATAACTCTTATGAAAACTATCAAAGGATTTTAGAATAACAAGTTAGGCTTCGTTTATAATATAATAATATTTTGATAGTTTACATTTTAAAGTTCAAATAAAACTTTAAAAATTTATTTATTTTGCAAAGTTAAAATTCAATCCGAGTGCAAAAAACAAAACTTTGAAGTCTTTAAAATTATAAGCAGTGAAAGAGTTGTTATTTAACCCAATAATTCAATGCAATGCAAGCAACATAATATTAAATAGATTTCAAATATCAAGAAGCAAATGCTCAAAGTTAAGTGCCCATTCAAATCACTTCAAAGCGCTTTAGCGGCAAAGTTCCAGCTCTGCACAATCCCACAACTCCATTAAGCTCATCAAAGAGCATTCTTGGCTAATCCCCCATTTAGTTAATGGTTGTTTACCGGTGATACCGATTATTATTTCATTATCGAGGGGGCACAGCATGGTTATATCAATAGCGTTTCACACTGAGCACATTTGGTACGTTCAAAATGGAGTCTTTAGTGAGCACATAATTTCATGTAGAATATGGTGCCTGAAAGGTATATATGCATGTTTGCAAAATTCACATACATATGATACTTGCACGTGTGCGATTGTAAAAAACAAAAGCAATGGCCGTTGGCTTCGACATGTTCATCTTTTGCTTGGATGAGCTGGCTCCGCCCCTCCGGGCTGTTTAAATATGTATTGCTCTGCATATTTTATAAGCTCCACGTGCATTTTCAGACAACACTTACTCACAAACACTCCACCCCACAAAACTCCCACACGCAGATACAAACTCGCAATTCGCGTTTCCTAACTCGATAATATTGATTGGTTAAGAGGTACGGAAGATAAACAGATGCTCGGCAACATACACAAAAAACAAGACATTGATAACACAAACTTTTAGTAATATTTAAAATTTGTATTAAATTTCTACTGGTCGGGATTAACTCATTAATAAATATTTCTTTCGAATAAGTTATTAATATGCTGAAAAGTATGCAATAGTTTAATTAAAAGGTGGATTTTAAAGATTTTTAAATTATTTTAAATTTGTATCAAATTTTGAAGGATTTGTAATTAAAACCTTTTAATTAACCTATGTTAGTTATGTCAGCTAATATAAATAAACGATACTATTTAAATTAGCTGACATATTTGTCAATAACTTATTAAAAAATAGCTTTATAGTTGTCGTTTCTCTAAATTTTTGGTAAGTTTTTGAGAACATTTTATTTATTAAAACCAATTTGATGGAAATAGCAATGCTCAGGAAAAGAAATAAATGCCTTAAGTTCATAAGCCCGATGACAAGTGTAATACTTTTTACAGTAATTGAAAATTGAATCCTGATGATTTTCATAGAAAATATTGAGCTTGAGAAATACGAGTAAAGGCTGTTTGCATCATCACAAGTCATTTCCTTCTGGAAAAAAAGCCAAATGAGCATCTCTGCCGTACAATATCCGTTTTCCGGATCGAATAGTGAGTCACAGGATCTCTTCCAGTGTCAGTGTTGTTAATGTGGGCCATCGACTTACCATTTCGCGGGCTCCACCGTAGCCAGCTTCAGTTCCGTGGTCCTTGCCATTGCGATTATCCTTTGTCCGCGGCTCTGGGGCGTTTTAAATCGCGCGCGTTTTTTGCGCTACGTTTATTTGGATTTTCACCTGCTTTGGATTTCGGTGTGTATATGTATTATGGAGTGGTTGTGTACTTGACAAATTGTTATTGCTGTTGTTTGCTTGTTAGTTGCCGGTTCGCTTGTTTATTTTTACACTTTTTGCAGCACACTTCGGGGATGCTGATAAATGGGCCTTCGGTTGATCATTTCACATATGCATTAGGCACTCCTTTTTTGTATATGACCGCGACACATTGCCACGGATTATGTGATTTCTTCCGAGCCCTGGATGAATATTTAATACTTCAATTTCCGAGCGCAGCAAATGAGCAAATGAGAACGGCGAAAGGGGAGTGAGTGGTCGCAGTTTTCCCCGCTTGGCCATTTAAGGCGACTTTCGCGGCAGATCCATTCGCATTATCAGCTTTTCGCCTAACCCTATAACGCGACCCCGCCCTCCGCCCGCCAACCACGCCCCTTTGGTTGCAAAGTGTCTCAAGTGCGCCATTAGGCGTTTGTTAATGGCCTTTTACCGTTTTGCTGCTCATCTCCAAGCGCTATGCAACGAGACACTCAAAAAAAGGGTTAAAATAATAGCTAATAGTTCGCTAGCAAACTAACAAACTATATTTTTCCATTAAAATACATTAAATAAAGTCTAAAATTTTTTAAAAAATCCTAACCTTTAAAAGCATTATTTCCTTAATATATTTTATGCCAAATCTTGCATAAAAATGTTTAAGGCTTTGGGCGTTGCTTTAAAAGAAGAATAAGTCATGAGACTAAATTGAATTTATATCCAGTTCTTAGCTAGTTTTTTATGGTTATTAACTATTATTATTATCCTGTTGCGACAAGCTTAAACTTATATTTATGGTGCTAGTTCTGTAGGCTATCAGGCACTTTTAGAACTTAAAACATTTAAATAATCTATAAGTCTTCAGCAATAAATTGCCAAATAAAACTTTAGCCAGAAAATGTTAGAATTGAAAGCTATTTCTTTTAGTGTGCAGCAACAAACGCGCTGTAAACTCATTTAATATGCTTAATGACGTCATGTGTGCGCTGTTTTTAAGTAGCCTCCCCCTTTGCGAATGTGTGTGTGTGTTGGCCCCACCCTGCATGCGACAATTCTCAGTTGCCTCCTTTTTGTTATTGTCACTGCCGATGTTGCTGCTTTTTTGCTGTGTTTCTTTTTTGGTTTTTTGTTTTAGGGCCACTCCTCTTTTGTTGATTTTCAGCCTTCATTGTTGCGTTGGTCATTTGAAATGCAGATGGCCTTGGACGGCTTAGCCCCTGGCTCCACTTTGAATGCTCCGCCCGAAAATAGACTCGCTAAACTAAACTCTTAACAAAACTGCGAATAGTTGTGTGAATGGCAGCACAGCCTTGGGGAAAATCTCACTAACTTTGCCATAGAATTTCCATGGAGAGGCGCCGAGTCAAAGGAGCACAGAGTCAAACGGTCTTCATTGTTTCTTCTTAACTTTTTGGATTATGACCTCGAATCAATGCTGATTGGGCAGTTTTCCTTTCGTTCGCTAGTTATTGAAATAAAATATGAGGCGGAAGTCTTTAACTGCACGAAATATTTTATACTTTCCGATAAGTGAAAATATAGTTTTATATGCTGACTTTTCTAATTCTGTAATTTCATTTGTACTTAAGTTTTGAATTTAAACATAAGAACAAAATAACTCTAAAGAAACTTTTTAGTTGCATGTTTTAAATTAAATTGAAACAATTCTTGGGTTTAAATACCTTAAATACTTTAACATTAATTAAGAGTACTATTTAATCTATAAATATTTGAAGAAAACCTTTTAAATTTAATATATATATACCAGTGATTAAACTAATAATAATAAAATAATTATTCATTTAAATTCAAGTAACTACTCATTAAATGACTGTAAATTTAAATAAGCACTTAAATAAATATTTTATAACGAGTAGAGTAAACTGAAATGATTTAGAAAGTCAAGACATTTCAGATCCCTGTTGAATTTTCTTCTCATTATTACATTACTTAAACTCTTCTAAAAGAATCCATTAATTTAACTTTTTTAGTTTCCTACTTGGGTAAACCTTTAAACCTCCGACCCCAAAAAAATGGATGACTCTGCATGGTTGATGAGTTAATGTCCTGTGTTAATTAAAAGCCACAGAGGCTCCTTTGGGAAGTGCATGCAGCTGGAGCTAGTTACTGACCTAAGACCTTTAAACACTTTATATTCTGCTGGTCATGTGGCCGTCTTGGCCTGCCATTTAAAGTCAGTTGGCTGACACAATCTAATGTTGGCTTCGCATGTTACTGGCGGTGGCAAGACTCGGTCTAGCCGCTGATTTAGCCTCCTCGGTTAGCCTGTTTTCCTCGAAAAGTAGTTCACTCCCTTTTCCCCGTTCTAACAGCACCGTTTTGTGGGTTTTGTTTAATTTTGATCGTTGTGTTATTCAAATATGTGGACACTCACACACACTAGAACTGAACGGCAAAGAAATTTCCACTCCCAGAAGTTGGGGAGCAACTCCCCATGAAACTTGTTTCAGTTTTTTTTTTGTATTTAATTTTTTTTTTTTTTTTGGTTAGAGAGGTACTATTGGCCGAAACCGAATCGAAGTCACATCTGTGGGGAGCGAACAATTCTGGAGGAGACGTCCGTTCGGGAACAGCTTGAGCAACAAACTGTTGGCCAAAAGGATTTTTTGGTTTTTGGAGTCGGCCAAAGCTCGAGGAGCTCGTGTTTGGGGCACGCTGTTGCTATTGGCAGTGAAAGCTTTCCCTGTGTTTGCCACCCCCACTCCCGCACTTTTCCACCATTTTCCATGTGCGGCAGGACACGTGCGGAGCTTTTTAGCACGTGAGCCGTGTGTGTTTTACGCCTGGACCCTCGCTGTGTTGCATTTTCGAAAAACCTTTCTCAACAAGTGGAAAGCTTTCAATTTGCTATTAATTAGCGAATGTCTACTAATTGAATTTTCATGGCCACGACAGCGGAGAGCCACTAATTTTTCAGTCTGCTTTTTTTTTCGGCCACTTTCGGAAAGTTTCATTTTCAACCTGTTGACCAGCTTAAGGTGGGAATTCGTAGGGGGTGGCACAACTTTCGTCCTTACACAGTTTTCCTCAGCAGCAGGGACCTTGTGAATGCTCTTGAAAATGGCAGCCAGCTAGCAGAAGTCGGCTGAATTATTTATGCACGTAAGGTCATCACAGCTATTTGGCTGCACTCCGCTCGGCTGGCACTAAAAATAAGTCCGTAAGTAGATATAAGTATAATTCGTGTAAGCACACTCTCTCGCCTATATATTTCGCAAGTTTTGGAAATTTCGTGCCTTAATACTATGGCAAGGACGTGCCGCTAAGGTCTTTTGTGGAGTGTCCGACAACAATGGAAAGTCTATAATTGAAATATAATTGCAATAATTGCATTGTGGTCATATTTTGACAGTTTTTCTTACAGCCAAAGTGATGATGAATGGCAAAAAGGAAATTATATAGTGTACATCGAGTTAGGGAACAAAAGATATAATTATTTTGTTTATTTTAACAAAGAACGGCTATACCACGATGTGCAGATAAACACTTACCTTTTATCAGTTAAAAATAGGTTTAATTAAATAACTGTACATTTTTATAAATACCTATTTTTTAATGTGTTAAATTCAAATAATAACGATTGGAGGATATTGCTAGAGGCTTTTAACGCGGTTGCTGAATAAATTGCAAGCTTTTAACAGCTTTTAAATAAAACTTTTCAACTATCTTTTAACCAGTGTTATAAAAGGCGGGCGTAACTTAACAAATTCCTAGATGGTGGTTGGTACAGGACATTTCCTGTGTTGCCACAAAAAGCTTTTACAAGCCCAATTCAAAGGTTAAATTTAAAGGTTTACATCGGTGTAGACTCCGAACTCTACAGTTAAAAAAGTTGTGATTTAAATCTTCAAAATTCTGTTCTTAAATCTTAAAAATAGCTGTGCAGAAATATGTAAAAAAAACTGCAACTTAGTCTCATTACTTTCCTTGCAGACAACCGATTTAAAAGTGGCATGCCTTTAAATGATTGTGGTTTAATTCTCTAAAAATCTGTATACTCACCTTGTTTTGTATTTTTGGGCCGATTTTTCGTCATTTTTATGAGCTAACCCCTTTCCAAATTTTCAAAAAATGGCTTTGCTGAAAACTAACCAAAAACCTGCACTACTAAGCTCATAACTTTTCTTACAGACATCCGATTTCAATTTGGCATGCCTTTAAATGATTGTGGTTTAATTCTCTAATAATCTGTATACTTACTTTGGTTTCCATTTTTGGGTCGATTTTTCGTCATTTTTTTGAGCTAACCCCTTTCCCAATTTTCAAAAAATGGCTTTGCTGAAAAGTGACCAAAAGCCTGCACTTCTAAGCCCATAACTTTTCTTATAGACATCCGATTTCAATTTGGCATATTTCTAAATGATTGTGGTTTAATTATCTAAAAATCTGTATACTTACCTTGCTTTGTATTTTTGGGTCGATTTTTCGTCATTTTTATGAGCTAACCCCTTTCCAAATTTTCAAAAAATGGCTTTGCTGAAAAGTGACCAAAAACCTGAACTACTAAGCTCATAACTTTTCTTACAGACATCCGATTTCAATTTGGCATGCCTCTAAATGATTGTGGTTTAATTCTCTAATAATCTGTATACTTACTTTGGTTTCCATTTTTGGGTCGATTTTTCGTCATTTTTTTGAGCTAACCCCTTTTCAAATTTTCAAAAAATGGCTTTGCTGAAAAGTGACCAAAAACCTGCACTACTAAGCTCATTACTTTTCTTACAGACATCCGATTTCAATTTGGCATGCCTTTAAATGATTGTGGTTTAATTCTCTAATAATCTGTATACTTACTTTGGTTTCCATTTTTGGGTCGATTTTTCGTCATTTTTTTGAGCTAACCCCTTTCCAAATTTTCAAAAAATGGCTTTGCTGAAAAGTGACCAAAAACCTGCACTTCTAAGCCCATAACTTTTCTTATAGACATCCGATTTCAATTTGGCATATTTCTAACTGATTGTGGTTTAATTATCTAAAAATCTGTATACTCACCTTGCTTTGTATTTTTGGGTCGATTTTTCGTCATTTTTATAAGCTAACCCCTTTCCAAATTTTCAAAAAATGGCTTTGCTGAAAAGTGACCAAAAACCTGCACTACTAAGCTCATAACTTTTCTTATAGACATCCGATTTCAATTTGGCATATTTCTAAATGATAGTGGTTTAATTATCTAAAAATCTGTATACTTACCTTGCTTTGTATTTTTGGGTCGATTTTTCGTCATTTTTATAAGCTAACCCCTTTCCAAATTTTCAAAAATGGCTTTGCTGAAAAGTGACCAAAAACCTGCACTACTAAGCTCATAACTTTTCTTACAGACATCCGATTTCAATTTGGCATGCCTTTAAATGATTGTGGTTTAATTTTCTAATAATCTGTATACTTACTTTGGTTTCCATTTTTGGGTCGATTTTTCGTCATTTTTTCGAGTAACCCCTTTCCAAATTTTCAAAAAATGGCTTTGCTGAAAAGTGACCAAAAACCTGCACTACTAAGCTCATAACTTTTCTTATAGACATCCGATTTCAATTTGGCATATTTCTAAATGATAGTGGTTTAATTATCTAAAAATCTGTATACTTACCTTGCTTTGTATTTTTGGGTCGATTTTTCGTCATTTTTATAAGCTAACCCCTTTCCAAATTTTCAAAAAATGGCTTTGCTGAAAAGTGACCAAAAACCTGCACTACTAAGCTCATAACTTTTCTTACAGACATCCGATTTCAATTTGGCATGCCTTTAAATGATTGTGGTTTAATTTTCTAATAATCTGTATACTTACTTTGGTTTCCATTTTTGGGTCGATTTTTCGTCATTTTTTCGAGTAACCCCTTTCCAAATTTTCGAAAAATGGCTTTGCTGAAAAGTGACCAAAATCCTGCACTTCTGAGCCCATAACTTTTCTTATAGACATCCGATTTTAATGTGGCATATTTCTAAATGATTGTGGTTTAATTCTCTAAATATCTGTATACTCATCATGGTTTGAATTTTTGAGTCGATATATCATTTTTTTTAATCATAGAACCCCTTTCCTAATATCCAAAAAATGGTTTTGGAATATCGACTTAGCTTGGTTTTAAGTTTCGAAATTGAACTATAAAATATTTAATGTTAGGGGTATAAGTTTGCTTCCAGTCTTGTTTATTTTTTTAATTTCATTTGCCCCACTGCGAAGACAGTATTTTAAATTTGGTATTTTTCGGATTCCACTTCAAATTTTACACTGTTACTACATGCGCCTTACGACATCTGGCGGCACAAGTAAGCTAAGAGCTTCCAGATTCTGCCACAGGGAGTCGCTACTCTAAGGCCAATAGCATATTTTCTTCTTAACGTAAATTTCTTTTAGACTGTTTCTAGTTGCTCAAAACCACACGCTCAAATGCAGGGCTAGTTAAATGCTTTTATTTTGAAGTGAACAAAGCTCAGCTCAGCGGGCTGTTTTTCCGGAATCCATTGACCTGTCCTTGATTGACCATTAGGACAATCAATTGATTCGTGCCCATTCCCATAAAAATAAAGTGGACATCTTACGTTGTTAAATTTTATTTTAAATGGTTTTTCTCTTTCAATTACAAATGTATTTAATATTATTGTTGTTGCTGCTGCTTTTTCGTATATTTTGTTGTTGTTAACGCATTTGATTCTTGACTTGTGTTGCTGTTGTTTTTTTTTATGTGTGCATAAAAATCGTTTCACAATCAACAACATTATTTCGTTTTTGTTTTGATTTATATTTTTAAAATGCATTTCGTTTGTAAATAAAATAATGTCTGCATGAATTTTTGTTAAAGTATTCTCTTGTCAGTTGCCCTGCGCGTCTCGCTTCATATAAATATGTAGTGTATATATAATTTGCTTTCGGGTTTCATTTATATTATTATTAAATTACATTTCACAAAATACAATTCACAACTACACTTGACGTCAAGTTTCTGGTTTCCGTGTAACTTCAACTAATCCATCAATCACCTTCCAGCTTTCAATCCTCATCTAACCTGACCTATCAATCTAAAATCCACTCCATTATGAAATATTTTCTTTTTTTAAATTAAAAAATCGTATACATTCGCAAATTGCAATCAATTTCGGTTCATCAATTTAGTAAATAAGTTTTCAATCACAAAAAATCAACTGAAAATGTTTCGAGTCGCTTAAACTGAATTATATTTGCATTCATTATTTTTACATTTTACCATTTCAATTCATTTGGTTTTCCCATTTACGTATATTCGTTACACTCGTTAGCCTTTAATATTTTTTAATTATAGATAAAAGCGTTTGCTATGTACGCCTTGAACTAAAGTTGGAGAAATGCAAAAGTCCTTTCGGGGATCCAACTTTCTCTTAGAGAACTAAACTAAACGCTACTAGATAGCAATATTTCATTAAGCTTATTAACAACATCAAATAGTACGCGTAAATGGTTGTATTGGATTTTGTTTTTTTGCGTTCAATATGTATAATATGTATATTAAACATTGTACGTCGTGTAGAGAAATTTGCTAATTAATGATTACTCTTTTTTGGTTTTGTTTTCTGCTTCTGTTTGCTTAACTTGGAGAGCTTCGTTTTAATGATACGTATAAGTGTTCGAGGGATTCTCTTGTAAATGCTTTAAATCAATAATAAATCACATAAAGAATAAACAAAGCAACGTAAAGGAAAAAGTACTTACTTGTCATGCATAAGGAAATCATGTTAAAACTATAAGAAAGTAACTCAAAAATGAAATATTTTGTATATTGTTTTTATTACAGCATTTGCCTGTTTTTCGATTTGTGTATAGAAATAGTTATAGTTGCTAAAAACATTACACACATAGTTGTTGCTATATCATATAATTTATAATATAAAGTTCATCCCTTCATTCTTGTTTTGTTTCGTATGTGAATTGGTTTGAAATGCTAACAGTTAAATTGTTGCTTTTACCATGTAATATAAATATTAAATTTAAATACAATAGTTTTTTATGCTTGATAGATATTTCGTTTTGCTTTTGCTTGCCATCTTCTTTTGTTTTTGTTTACAACTAAGGTTACATTTAATTTAATACTCTTATATAAACGTTTTAGCTTTATACAATTTTTATTTTTGCTTCTTTTATAAATGCAAAAAAATGACCTGCGTCGGCTGCAAAAGTTGGCAATTTTCATTTACTCATTTATTTGTTAGGTGAAGGGGAGAAGGGTTTTGGTAGTATTTTTCTTTTTTGGGTTTTTGTAAAAATTAAATTCAATTTTTGAGCTTAAATGCAGAGTTGCTTTTGATGCTGAAATGCAAGTTACTATATTTATATTTACTTTTATATTTTAGTTTCAGGGTTTCTCCCATCTCTGAACCAAAGATACGTTTACAAACTAGGCGCGATTTGAAAATATTTACAAAACTTAGTGTTGGATAATGCCTTAGGTTAGGTTAAATAATTTACAAATGGTATCTGGCAACACTGACTGCCTCCTCTTTGATAATGCGACAACCCTAAAATCGCAACTAACTTTCTATGGGCATTCGAAGTGTTTCTTTTTTTGTATTTACTTTTTTTTTATGCGTTCGTAATGTTTAATGTTTATGTTTAGGTTAAGGTTAATAGTGTAGTTAGTTTGATTAAAAGTTAGTTGTAATTTCGAAATATGGCTCGTGGCTCTGACTTGGCAGTGTGGGCAGATTCCGCTCGCTACTTTACCCCCGAGTGCTCTACGTGGCGGATACTTAATTGGTTTTGCGTTTCTCAGTCTATTTCATTGAGGAAAGTGTTTGTGGAAGGGAATAACAACAGAAAAGGTGGCATTATGAATATTTAGATAGGAAAGTAGTTAATGGCAGGTGGAACAAACGCGGTTCAACTGGATTCGATCGTTATTTATTTTTGGAAAGTACCCCTTTCGCTACGCCTAAGCTCTTGGCTCATCTGCTTTTGAAGACAAAGGTTTTTTTGGACTAGAATCTTGTATGCAGATTGGTTGCTTACCACATCTCTAATGGTTATTTACGACCCTGTTTCGATTTCTAACTCATAAGCAATTTGGCGGAATAAGGATTGTTAAATTCTAAAGATTTTTAGAAGTATTTAAATTTTATATTTTTTAAGAAACAAATTTTAATTTAAAGAAAAAAAAACAAATCTGGTATTTAGAAAATTAAATGTTCACAATACAAATACATATAAATTTTATGATAATCCAAAATTCTTGTCAAGCTTTCATAATTTCTTGGAAAAGTTTAATTGTAAATTTTTAGATTACAATTTTAGAACACAATTTTGTTTTTCTAAATTCTCAAAATTGGAGCAAAAAGTTAGTAATTTCAAAGAAAGTTTCATGAAACCCTATTCCGCAAAAAGCGATCGGAATTGGAAACAGAAACAGGGGCTCTTGTTGCGCTTTCCACTCAATAAACAAACTGCGGCTACTCGAATTAATATGGCATTGCTGGAAAACCTTTGCTAAAGCCGCCGCCCAGAGCGAGCGAGATGGGTAATGGATGTGGGGGAGAGAGCCTAGGAGTGCGAGTGAGACAGAGGCCGGGCGTGTGAATCGACCAGCTTGAGCGGCTACAGCTGGCTAAAACTGCTGGTCGAAACCCAGTGCGCGGTGTCCGGGCGTACCATTAACTATATGGGACCGTAGTCGCTGAGCGCCTGTCCCGGATGCTGGGCACCCGGTCCGCCGGGCAGCGTGACCACCACGGACACGGCCCGCGAATCGATGACGGATCCGGGAGCGGTATTCTGACCGCCCACACCATTATTTCCATTCCCATTGCCGTAGACATTGCCAGGATTGCCGCCGCCAGAGGCGCCGTGCATCAGGGTGCCGGGGAGAGGGCCCATGCCGACCGTGCTGCTGCTCATCGCGGTGCCGTGGCCCAGGGTGCCGCCGCCAATGGTGCTACCGCCGCCCCCGCCACCGCCGCCGCCCATGGTCGATGCTCCCCCCGACTCTCCATGTCATACGTGGCTGGCCGCCGGCTGTTTGAGAACATGGTGGTGCAGATGGTGGTGGCTGGTGGAGGCCACCGAGGCACCACCCGCCTGGGTGTAGGGCGTGGCCAGCAGGGAGCCCGCCGCCGAGCCTACCGGCATGCCCATTCCGGATCCGGCATAGGGATGCGGTATCGGTGGACGCTGTTTGATCAGCGCTTGATTGGCACCCGTGCGATCGGGCGCTCCAAAGAGTCGCCGCCAGAAGCGACGCCAGCTCTCCAGCGTTTTTCCAGACCAGATCCAAACGCCCGACGTAATGCCCACGGCCAGGGCCATGAAGTACTTGAGCATCAGCACGGAGTAGAGCGGCTTCTTGCCGGGACCCTTCACCTGGGCACACGGACAGGCCAGGGCCTTGATCCAGTCCTCGAAGTAGGCCGCCTCGTACAGATAACAGCCGATCACTATGGTGGCCGGCACTGTGTAGAGCACCGAGAAGATGCCAATCCTGATCATCAGCTTCTCCAGCTTATCCGCTTTGACTCCGGCTCCCACGCCACCCTGCTGCTTGATCACCGATCGAATGCGGAAGAGGGACACAAAGCCGGCCATTAGGAAGGTGGTGCCGATCACCAGGTAAACGAAGAGCGGGGCCAGCACGAAGGTCTTCAGGTGATCGGGATTCAGGTTGCCCACATAGCAGATGCCCAGAATGGGATCGCCATCCACCGCCGAGAGCAGGAGCACGGCCACCGACTGGACGGTGGGTATTAGCCAGGCGGCCAGGTGGAAGTACTGCGAGTGCTTGGTGATGGCCTCATTGCCCCACTTCAATCCGGCAGCCAGGAACCAGGTGAAGCTGAGGATCACCCACCAAATCGAGGAGGCCATGCCAAAGAAGTAGGTCAGCAGGAAGACCAGGGTGCAGGAATGCGGACCCGTGGAGCTCTCCCGCAAGAGCAGGCCATCGCAGGCGATCTCCTCGTTCTGCAGGAAGTTCCTGGACAAATAGCCAACGGCCACCATGAAATAGCAGGCGGACAAGAAGACAATTGGACGCTCCGGGTACTTAAACCTTTCCGTGTCGATGATGAATGTGGTTAGGGTCATGAGCGTGCTGCAGAAGCATAGTCCCGACCACAGGGCGATCCACAGGCCGGCGAAGTCCTTTTCGTCGTTGCTGAAGAACGGACCCTTGCACGGAATGCCGCAGTTTGGTACGCCGGCGATCCTTTGGACAGTGAGGTTCATGTACCAGTGGTGTGGATGATGCATCATTGGTGACTGCGACTGCTGCTGGAGCAGCTGCTCCTTCCCCAGGAAGATGAGTGGGGAGCGGCACGAGCAGCTGCACTCTTTTCCGCTTGCCTTTTCTCCTTGGGGATTTTGGCAGTTTTTTGAATTGCGTCCGCGGCACTTGTTCGAGTTGCTTGATCCGCCGCTGCTTCCGCCGGCACCACCGCTACCGCCCGAGCCACTGCCTCCCTGCTTCCGCTTGCCGCCGGAACCGGAACTGCCGCCAGAGCCACCCGATCCTCCAGATCCACTGCCGCCACTGCCCGCCTCCGTGTAGGAGGGTTGCTCCATGCACAGGTTGTCGGGGTCACCATGGATCGGCAGGTGCTCGCAGGCCATCCGCTCCGGCCACTCGAAGCTGTACTGCTGCATGATGGGTGCACATCCCGACCGGGCTCGTTCGCAGACACTCCGGCAAACGGGCAGCGGCTTGTGGTAATCCTCCAGACAGATCGGCGTGTACATGCTGCACAGGAAGAACTTCAGATCGGGCGAGCATTTGATCTCCACCAGCGGCCAGAACTGATGCACCTCCAGGCCCGCCTCGTCCTGGGTCTCGTGGTTCATTTCGTTGGGGAAGGATGTCATGTTGTAGCCAATGCCCCGGCACATGGGTATGGTGATCTCCTCGCAGCGCAGATTGGGATCTTTGGGTATGGCCGGCACTCCGTATCCTGGCGCAGGACTCGCGTCCAGGCCGTGTCCGCCCATTCCCATGCCGCCCATGCCCATGCCATGATCCGGACTGTGCTGCGGTCCGTCCGCTCGACAGGACGTCAGGCTGAGGATGAGGATGAGTCCGAATCCGAGTCCAAGGACCCTCAGTCGATTGTGTCTCATTTTGTGCGTCTTAGCTTAGTTCGTTTTGTGTGACTTGGCCCAACTCGGGGTCTCTGTTTGCTGACCTTCTCTGCGCTTGCACCTCACTCCACGTGGAGGCGCCTCGAGAGCCGGAAAAGCGAGTCGCGTTTCCTTCCAGACACAGCTCAGCGTCAAATCGTCAACGCTCGGCAAACGGCGTGGTCTAGCTGCAATGAAAGGAAAATAAAATACATAATTAGTTTTAGATTCAATTGATTTAAAAAAGCAAATTTTTAAGTTATTAAGGAATTTCCCATTTTCTCAGAAAATTATAACATTTGCTTTGCAAAATATTAACTACGGTAGAAGTAATGTCCATATATTTATGGTTTTCCCTATTTGCCATACTTATAAATTTCTCTTATATTTCCGACTTCATACCACATGAATTTATGATCATTAGATCACCATGTCTGTGACTCTTTTGATAAGGAATTCAGATCCTGATAAAGCATGTTTTTAGGAAGCACATGCTGAACTGATATTCAAAATTATTTTTAGCTTTTAACGAGCCGACTGTCGAAATTCAACTGATTTTCTCGTCTAAATTTTCCAACCCACGTCACTTCGGGGAAAAGAGATGGTCATAGTCGTTATTGTGGATCACTGATGAGGCGGCGACAAGTCGCAACTGCTCTTTCCTGTTTCTGATTCGCTTTCTGGCCCACTCCCTGGAGAACTTTCGCGCTTCATTTGTTTCAATTGAGCTCAGCGACACTTGGACGACATGTCCATGTCACATGTCAAGCACTCCGCCACTCCAGCACTTCACCCCGATTTCCCACTCCTCCATCGAGTGTCAACCCTTCCGCCAATATTTGCTGACGCTTCGGGGCTGTCCCTGCTGATGATTCTGATTCTGATTCTGAATCCGATTCGGGAACTGGAACTGCTGCTGACCAAGAGGCGCATCAATCAAAATCAGTGAGTTTTATTAAATTTGACGGCGTCTGCTGGCTGCAAACGCATGAATCCAGTGCAGATAGAAAAAATACCACTTCAAATTAGGAAAATTACATCTAAATTGGGAACTAATTCAGAAGACAGCAAAAAGAACTTTGTTATATTCTATTTATTGAATATTTTTATAAATTTCTGGATTTAAGATCTTCTAGTATTCTTTAAGAAAACTATGATTATATTTAATCGTTATTCATGCATTTTCAAATATCGCTAGAAATATAATTTTAAGATCATAAAACATACAATTTTATATGTCCGAATACTGTGTTTTTGGTCTGCTCTTCAGTTATTGAATTTAATTAAATCTACAGAGGATTGCCAAAGTAGTTATTTCCCCTATTTTGGTCACCACTTTTTCCCTCAGTGTGTGCTTGATGAAAGTGTTTGCTTTGCTTTCCCAGCCGAAGAAGGGTGTGAAACGCTGATGGATTGGATGTGATGAGGCAGAAATTAATTCAAGACAATTGCTCACTTGAAGCGCAGTCAAAATGGAGGCTGCAAAGCCACCCATCAAGTTAAGATTCCACTCATCGCCGCCTGGATGATAAATATTATATGGGTGACACCTTATTTGGGGATAAATAACTATGGCATGGCAGCTGGCGATATCGATGCCAGTGGTTTGTGGTCAACTCAACCGGCAGCTGCTGCTGCTCCAGAAGCGATACTTGGAGATACCTAAAAATTGACAGCTGGACAGACTGAAGTGAAGGGCAATTTACTCGCCAGCAGCTTCTGTATGCTCAAAGTCACGAAATTTATCTACGAGATACAGATACAGTTTTTAGCAAGTGTCAAGTGACATACATATTTGTGGCTTTTGCGGCCAGCTTCAGTTTCAGTTTGGGATCTCAGCTGCGTGTGGTCCAAAAGGAAAAGCATCAGCTTTAAAGCTTTACAGTCCGGGCTCTTGGAAAAACTGTCAACAACAGCTGCAAATAAAACATAGTTATATTCCCCACTTTACCGCCACCCCGCCCGCCTTTTACTTTGTTTTGCGCTGAAAGTCCTTTCATTGTTTTTCCGAATGAATGACATTTTAATTAATAACATTTGTGTGCGTTAGTCGACGGCGTCCATCACAAATTCGCCCCCCCAACAATCCCCTGTTTGCCACCGATACAACCCCGAAAATAAGTTTGTAGAGTGTGGCTCTCACTGAAACATTTTTCGTGTTAAAATGTTTGCCGAGCACTTCAAAATAATTAAGTAAATACGCTACGGAAAATGTTTCTAGGACAGCGTGGGCGGGGCAAAAAGCCCAAGTGTTGTGATTACAACTCGAGGGTAGCGCCAAAAATAAACGTTGAAATCCAATATCGAAATGTGGGCATCAGGCAATCGGATCGTGAGAAACAATGCCAGGCGTTAGTCGGCTATCGATTACAGCGAATATATTCTACATACTCCATATATATGGAGGCGTCTATCGGTTGCGGTGATGCTTACGCAATGTTCTCCTACTCAAATGACAAAAGCAGCAGTTGATGGAAATGGAAAATAGCAGAGAATATGTCAATAATCAAGGTTGAAGAGTGGTTTCAGCTGGTTGAGGCTGAGGTATATTGCTTAAAATATTTTTTAAAAAATTATTTGTTAGAAAATAAACTCAAAACTGAATTGCGATTGCTATGTCACCCAAACATAAATAACAGTAAGTAAGCCCTCTTAAATGGAGTTATTAAATCTCTTTTAAATATAATAAAATTGCCAAAACAAATTTAAGTCCCCCCGAAAGTTCCCTAGTTTCAAAACCTAACCCAATGCATTAACATTTGCCCTCCTCCGTTGACACTAAGCTTTTCTTTCGTTACCGAGAGTGAAAATTAGCCGTAAGCCGAAACAATGCGACAATCACCGAACGGAAAGAGGGAAAAGTCTAATTGGTTTGTCCGACGCAGGAAAATCATATTGAAATGCAGCGAACGTGACCAAAATGGCAGAGAATGAAAAAGAAAAGAAAATGCGTACATGTGTTTGGATATGGAAAAGCCACGTTCACAACGGCTTCCACATTTGGCCAGTGGTGGTAATGTTGGTGAGTGTTGTTGTGGCCCGAAACGAAAAAAAAAAACACTACTTGCTCTGGTTATTAAAGCTTCAAGTGGACGAGGGATCTTGGGCTCCTTTTAGGTCCGACCCTGTTCTGATTGCCGGCCAAGAACTACCACTAATAGGTGGATGTGTTCATGGGAAATGGCCTGGAAATAATAGCAAACGTGCTTCTCTCGAGTGGAGCGAGGCAAAAAGGAAAAAAAAAAAAGAAAGAGAAAAAGAAATAAGCGGAATGCATAAATATTATTTTTAATAGAGAAAAATGTCTCAAGTGGCGGTGACGAATGGATCGCTTCTCTGAGATTCTCTGTGATTCTCCCAGTTTCTCCGCTTCTCTGAGTGGTAGCTAAATGTTTGTATTTGGCCGATCGACTGGGCCATGTTTGCTTAATGATTTGTTGTTTCTCTCCCTCTCAGCGTATTTAGTGCAGACTCATATTGTTTATTTAATTGTTAACAAGCGTGCGGCTCAGACGCTACAAGCTCGTTAAGAGTAACAAATTATTACTCGCCCCGAATGCATGGCTTTTTGCCAATCATTCCGCCGCTGCTGGGAGAATTTAATACAAAATCACGCTGCCAACCAGTCTCAACGATGTTTGTCCAAGCTCTCCAGCTTAGAGATCTGGCTCTGACTTTCCTGGCCATGTTTGCCAAAGACTTGAGAATGCAGAGATGTACGGGGGAAAACGGAGAGAGATCCCCCGGTGATCGGTGAATGGCTGCGCATCGATGCACTAAAGAGGTCGTCGGGCGGAAGCTGTTACCAAAGTTGGTAGCTCGCCAGCAACATGGACAAAACACAGCAAAAGCAGCAGAAAAATCAACGACTACGACAACGACAAGCTGACTGTTTTAATTAAACAAACAAGCCAAAGACACGACGGGAAGACGACACCAACGAGCAAATAAGTAGCAAGTGTTGCTGGCTACTCAAAGTACAGTCGACACCCATGGCAAACAAACCGCACAAGGTGTGGGTTTCCAAGAAGGTGGGAATCTCAAGACGACTCAACTCTCGAAGGAATGATCTCATTTGCAATATTCCGAGAATCTAAGAAGATGTGTGTTGTACTTCATTTAATGGCTGATTAACAAAGAATATACAGATGCAGTGTTGTGTTTGTAATTAATAAACAAAAGTGTTGTACTTAAATTAGAATGCCGAGTGCCATAGTATTTTATAACTGGTTGATGGGCTGCAAAAAGAAGTTCCCAGAGAACGTTAAATTTACAATGAGTATTTCCTTAACAAAGCCATAAACTTTTAACTGCCAATATCGCTTACAAGTACAGTTTACAACGCGTCACAAAAGAGGAGGAAGTAAATCCGGCATTCAACTCAAGATAATGATGATGAGCAATTATCCAAACAAAGACCGAAACCAGCATTGTTGGGCAGCCAAAGAGAATGCTAATCGATAACTTATCGCCCCGATGGAGGCCAATCAATCAATCAAAGGGAAAAAACCCCTCCAAAGAGGTCTTCATACAAAACGGCTCCAAATCGCTTGCTTGGAGTTGGGAAAAATGCTGAAAAAATAAGAGGCGAATAAGAAGCGAAACATGGGAAAGCCAAAAAGGAAAAACTTGCCAACCACAAAGCACTTAAACTTTCTATGGGCGGTATTTTCCCCGCTCTGTTTTTCGGGGAATCCCCTTTCCCGCCGCAGGTGCAGGGCACAAAGAAGCGTTGAAGCAGCAGCAACAAACTCGAAGGGCTCGCAGGTGCAACAGTCAACTCGAACCACCCATCAAAAGCCCACCCACCACACCCCCACCGCCAAAGCTGTGGCCTTGGCCAAAGCAAACCGCGAAAATCAATTGAAAAACTCGCCGTGAAAAGCGGTGAGGGAGGAGGGGGAGGAAAAACAGGAGCAGGAGCAGGAGCAACTGTTTGCCTTGTTGGCGGCGGCATCAAAAAGCGCGTAGCGGCGCAAAATGAAAACAGTTTGTCGACACGGTAGGGTCAGAGTGAGAGAGACAGGTAGACATTTACTGAAAGAGACGGCAAATGAAAAAGTTTTTATTTCCAACCGAGGGGGTTTTCCCTCCCCTCCCCTCACCCCACTCAAAGTCAATGCAGACAAGTTCCATGACCTTACAAACGCAGCGAGTTCAAATGGGGAAACGGCAAAAAGGACTGCGG